GTGCCTTTAATCAGAATAGCGTAGGCACATGAAGAAGTGGAATTAAATAGCTGAACAGAACAGCCGTGTGTCTGTCAAAGAACAGCAGCTCTTCCTGGGGGAGTCCAACCAGAATGCTACTGAGAGGCAGGGACGGCAAGACTTCGTCTCGCTCACACTGGGCGTGTTATCAGGAGACCCCAGTCCCTGGGGAAGGACATCATACTTGGTGGAAGGGCAGTGAAAGGGGGCAAGTCCTCAAGAGGATGGGTGGACACAGTGGCTGCAGCATCACAAGTGTGAGGATGGTGCAGGCATGCGGGGTTTCGGTCTCGTGTGCACAGCAGAGTTGCTGTGAGTTGGGGCTGACTTGACGGCCCCAGACAGCAACAGCAACAGGTGCTCTGTGTATTGCAGGTTCAAGCGAAGTCCGTGCCTCGCGTTCAGCTGCTGTGTCTTCTTAGGCATCTGTTCATTTGAACAGCTACTTGTCTTGTCTTCCTTCCTCCTCCTTTTTTTTTTTTGTTGCCCTGCCCTTGTCATATTTGTTGAAGAAACGAGGTCACGGGGTCTTTTGTGTGGAGGAATTTCCCACCTTCTGGATTTGGTCACCGTTTCTTTGGTGTTTAGCATGCTCCCTGTGCCCACTAAACCCTCGAGTGCATGCTGGGGCAAGTGCTTGTTTTCTGCCACCTGGAAATGGCCAGGTGGCTTGACTTGGGCCAGAGTGCCTGTCCCACAGCAGCGGGACACACTGGGCCAGTACCCTGTACACGGCATAGTGAGGGAGCACTCAAGAGGGGCTGTTGTACATGGGGGAGGAGGGCCTGGACTGTCTGACATCCGCGGGCAGGAGAGAGTCTGGCAGAGGAGTGGAAGGCATGGATGTGAGAGTGGGCTTGGAGGGTCAGTGAGGGCTCACTGACCTGGGAGGGCTTGGGGGGATGCCCAACATCCTCAAAAAGGGGTTCCTTGGCTCAGATCCACATTGAGAAGGTGCTTGTGGGGAGACATGGAGAGACAGAGTTGTCTCTCGGCTCGAATCTTGGAGAGTCATGGGAGTTTCCTACAGTGGCCCCAAGAATCAGCCCATTAGCTTGTCTATGTAACTTATAGGAAGTTAAATGTTCTCCCAGAATTTTCCTTCTATTAAAAAAAATATGTATGTAACATACAGAAAAGCAACCGTGTTATCAGGAAAGCCCCCCCCTTACTGCCACGGAGTCAGTTCTGACTCACAGCTTCTCTGTAAGACAGAATAGAACTGCCCCCAAAGGGTTTCCAAGGCTGCAGCCTTCACCAGGGCAAAGGGCCTCATTTTCTCCCATAGAGCAGCTGGGTTTGAGCTGCCCACCTTGGGGTTAATGGCCTAATGCCTAATCTACTGTGCCACTAAGGCTCCTAGGAAAGTGGCATCAGATGAACTTTCCTGAAGCAAATACACCCTGTAACCAGGACCGGGAGTGTGATACCTCGGTGATATTGCTGGGCATGCCTGTACCAGCATCTCGGAAGCCAGCCCCTGCTGCCCTGCCCTCTTGCTGCCCTCCCCACCTTGCCCCCAGACATTACCACTGTCCACTGTCCCTGCTCCCTAAGGTGACTGCTGAACCCGTGCCCGGTCCCACACCACACAAATGGAGTTGGCGCTCCATGTGTCCAGGGCTGCAGTGCGTGTGGAGCATCTCTTTGAATCCATCAACACTAGAACGTGCTTGGAGCCACAGGATTTGTAACCTCTCCCTGATGCTGGTTCCACTTCCCTAGTTGTTCCCCTGTCCATGGCGCCATCCGCTCACCACACCTTCTCCCTGGAAGTCACATTATTTTTAAATACCTCTTTTTTTTAAGGACGAAGATGTAGGCATCCTGTAAAACGGGTATAAGATTTTAAAAGCCCTACATCTGTGTTTGTGTTCAAACTAATGACAACTAAGCAAAAGCTAGGAGCCCAAGCGCCCTAGTGTGTCTCTGCAGCCCTGCTCAGAGGACACCCTTGCACTTGGTAGGTGGGGACCCAGGGAAGGGAACGCCATCGTTTCAGCTCCGTGGACCCTTGGGAGGGCGAGGGGCACCATGTTCTGTCCTGACCCAAGTGCCTGTTCTCTTCAGTCTGGAAAGTGCTCAGAACAGGGAACACAGTACAGCGCTGGGCTCTTGAAGAAGGATTTTAGAAAGGCTGCTTAGGGTTAAGAAAGGATCTTGAGAGGTATGTGGCCTCATTTCCGTCGTGCCTGGCCACAGCCCGCCTTTCCTCATCGGTCTTGAGCAGAGATTGAGCAATCCGACAGAGAGAGTTTTCTTTCACAGGGATCACATGATGGGGTCTCGTAGGGAAGGGCCCTGTGCTGCTGAGCCTTCCCCAGTGGGGCTGTGCTGTTTATTGTCCGGCCGGGGCACCCACAGGCAGCCCAGCTCCCATGCTCGCTGACTAATGCTGAGCTCCCGGGGGTGGGAAGGGTGCCACGGGAAGTGAGGGTGCTCATGTTGCCGCAAGACCAGGCCTGAGCTCATAAAACCAGTTTTGTTTTCCGGTAGGAGTAAGTGGCTCCGGATTCCCCTTTGATTTGGGGCGGATTCCCTACAAAGGAAGGCGCCCCTTGAAGGACATGATTGGGTCGTGCAAACTTCGGCACAGTAGCGGTGACCCCTCAGCTGCGGGGCCCTCAGCTGGGAGCAGCGTCAGCAAGCCGGCCTCTGACGTGCAGCTGCAGGTGCAGAGCCAGCAGGAAGAGCTGGACCGTCTAAAGAAAGACCTAGCCAGTCAGAAGGTACTTTGTCTTCTTTTAATTTCTCTCCTATCTCACATCATCCGGCCAAGGAGTTCGAAAAGGCAAGCGCTTGTTTCTCAGAATCTTTGCGGGGCGTGGGCAGTTTTGTTTCCCAGAAGGTGGTATTCCTGTAAAAGCTTCCTGTTGCCACGACCACCATCACTGCTGCCTGGGGGACTTGACAAGGAGAGAAGCCCCCGGGAGCCCAGCCCTGCCCCCGAGACCAAAACTCTGGGCCTACCTGCAGCCCAGAGGTCCCGGCAATTGCCAGAAAGTGTTTCTACATTGTGAACAACACCATTTCCTTCTGACCTAATCAGACCCAATTGCACATTAATTGCTCGGTAGTCCAATAAATTCTAGCACTCTGATTTTTTTAACTGATGAGTGTTTACCAGGAACCATTGCTAATTTCAGTGTGCATGTTCATGATTCCTGTTTCCTCTTATTGTTCTCTACAGACCGTTTGTATGGAGTAAGTATCTCCCCTGCCCCCTTCTATTTCTGAGCTCCTTCAAGAGGAAGTTCAGCTTTAAGATGTTTCCAGTAACGTGTCTGTATTTCCTCAAGTGCCGGGGGGGTTGCTCTGTTGTGTTGTGAGGGTCTTGCCCCTCTCCCTCCTCTGTGCTCTCCTCACCTCCCCCACCACCCCCCCATGCCCCTTTCTGCTCCCAGGAGCTTGTGCGGCTGCTGCAACAGACTGTGCGGTCCTCCCAGTATGACAAGTACTTCACGAGCGGCCGGCTGTGTGAGGGGGTCCCAAAGGACACACTGGCGCTCCTGCACCAAAAGGATGACCAGATCTGGGGCCTCACCAGCCAGTTTGAGAGGTTCAGCCTGGAGAAGGAGAGCCTTCAGCAGGAAGTGAGGACGCTCAAGAGCAAGGTGGGAGAGCTCAGCGAGCAGCTGGGCATGCTGATGGAGACGATCCAGGCCAAGGATGAGGTCATCATCAAGCTCTCTCGGCAGCTCAGCGAGGGCGAGGGTAGCCTGCCGTCCCCCACCCCAGTGCCCGGCTCGCCCTCTGCTACGCTTGCCAGCCGGGACCAACTGGAGCTGGACAGGCTGAAGGTAAGAGGGCGTGGTGGTGGGCCGGGGTGGGGTGGGGGGCGTGGCAGGGCACCGATTATTGGGACGAGAACGCCAAAGTCCGTTAGCTCCACTAATATCGCCCTAGAGGTGTTGGCTTTGTGGGCTAATTTGGGATGAGAGTGGAGTAGCTGTGAGGTTTGTGTAAATTTTGGACAGGTTTACGGAACAGGGTGCCAAGTCATTGTTAGTCCTCTCGGGGCTTCCGTGGAAAATGAAACTTTCCACCCAGTGATGTTGCCGTTGCTAGAAAATCCTTTTTCTGTCTTGCCCTCAGGCCGCTTGGCCATCTTTCTGTTTGTGCCACAGAGACCCGAGCTCCTGGTCCATGTAACCTGTGAGGGTGCCCCCTGCCCTCTCTGGGCACCTGCTGGCACACTCAGACTTGACTTGCACAGACTGCCCGAGGCCCAGGAAAGGAGCACTGCCCTGAGGCTGGACTCCAGCTCCCAGGCAGCCAAGAGGGAGGGACTGCTGAGTCGGGGCCCCCCACCCACATTTAGAAGAGACATGTGCAACTCCCAGTGGCATTCCTAGGCTGGTTCCTGAATGACCAGCTGATGGGAGGGAGGTTCCCTGACCTGCCTGTGCAGAACCTGGCAGTCCAGAAGGGCTCACTGAAGGTCAGCCAGCAAGGCCACAGAGAAGGTGTAAGCATTGGTTTCGCCAGGTTGCAGGTGGGGAAGGGCCCCCTGGGACAAGGAGAATTGGGTGTAGCCTAATTCTAGGGCTAGGTCTGCAGGACTCACCCAGCCCAGAGTCCTCCTTGCCTGGCTGCAGGTGTGTCCCCCTCCCAGTGTGGTTTATCGGTGAACACGGCAAAACACCCAGTGGTACCTTTCCTGCACTATCAGGAGACTGAACTAGGGGTCCTGAAGATATTCCAGAGTGGTCCTTTAAAAGCTAGAATGATGGTGCCACGGTACGATATTTATCTGGTCGCCCATAGTGACAACATCTAGGTGATGATAATCTGTGTGGTCAGAAGGATTGATTAATGAGAAAATCTAAAATGCATTAAGAAATACAAAATCCATCTCATTAATTCATACTTTTATGTACTATAAAAACAATAGTGGTCAAGTTTTATTAACGAGCACAACCTAGAGCACACGGAATGCTCTATATAGCCCACGTTTTTTGGAAAGTGAACTGGGTGAAGTTCACACAGCAAATCAGGTTTACATCCAGCAATTCATACGATGGCAGTCCCCACAATGTCACACCGCCCTCCCACTTTCTCCTTGTGTTCTCCTTTCTTCCCCCTTCCTGCCTTTCCAACTCTGCCCCTGGGCGTTTGCGGCCCTTACTCTCAGTGGTTGATGGTTCTGCAGGGGGCGGACCTCCTGGGGCTCCTTTTAGAGAGCTGTTTGCTGGCACTTGAACCACTGGGATGAGTTCTGTTCTTGGACAGAACGGTGACTAAGAGCCGTCATCTCAACTGTCCCCCCAGCCACTCAGACCAGTGAGCCTACCCTTTTAAAATGATTTTTAATTCTGTTTCACATTTTTCTCCCACTCTATCCGGGATCTTCCAAAGTGTTGACACAGTTTACGAAGAGGGAAAATGACTGTCAGGTGACTTGCTTGTGGCCTGTGAACTCCGGGTGGGGCAGATAAATCCTGCCCGGGGCCATGACCTCAGTTCTCTGACACTGCTGCCTGGGCCTGTGGTGCCAGTGCTCTAGGGAGGGCAGGGGTGGGGCTGAGGGACAGGGGACTGCAGTACGTGCTGGAGACACTCCCCTAACCCCTGTCTCCTTTGAGAGGGAGCTTCCTCTCAAAGGAGAGCTCTGCACACAAGTAGGCGTTTGGCTGTGTTTTCTTGGGGGCCACATCTGGGAGAGAAGTGGGTTGGCCCCACTCGCCTCCTCCGCTGATGTTCCTGTGTCCTTGCTTCCTGTATCATCCTCAGTGACACGGGCCTGGCCGGATTCCTGCCCTGTGGGATTGGTTAGCATTTCCTTTGTGCTCTAAAAGCACATTGGGCATTGCTTTTGATAACTTTTGGTTTTTGTTTTCTTTTTCCTAAGCAAAACAGGTTTTTGTCATCCTAGTGAGCCCTGGTGGTGTGGTGGGTTACACAGTGGGCTGCTAACTTCAAGGTGAGAAGTTCAGAGCCGCCAGTGGCTCCGGTAAAATGATGATGTGATCTACTCCCATAAAGATGTACCGTCCCAGAGCCTGCCAGGGTCAGTTTGACCCTGTCCTGTAGGGTGGCCGTGAGTGGTGTACTCTTCCTGTTTCTGCCCGGGTTTGGCGTGACCCAGGAGCTCTTCCTCTCCCGGCTTGGGCAGCCCTGACGGTTGTTGCTCGGAGCACCTCAGCGGAGAGGCTCAGCCCTTTTGACTGCAGCCTTACGCACTCCGTCTGTGACGTCTGTCCTGCGTGTTGGTGTCTCCTTCGTGCAGATGCCCAGCCCGTGACTCGGCCCAGAGCAAAGAAGACCCCAGCTTCCTGGATCCCAGTGTAGGTTAGGGGCCAAGCTTTTGAGCCTCTCTCCCGCCAGTTCTTGCCCCGCTCACGAGACTTGAGACTGAGTCAGAGAAGAGGAGTGAGTGGAAGGAGGAGTGAGCTTACTAAGGAAGTACTTAGGTTTGGAACACCCAGTCCCCCAGTTCATCCAAGGGCCCATAGAATGAAAAGCTAGGTGGTTTTCCTGTTAATGGCAGACCTCCCATCATTGGCTAGTAATTCAGAGGGTCTTTGCCCTTGGCTGGCTCTCTGTGGCACACCTCCCCTTCCCAGACATGCCCCACAGGGTTCATGCTGTGTCCTTGTCCCCAGGCTTCTAAACCAGGGTCAGCTATTGCGGGGGTAGTATGAACAGTGTGTCTCCCCACACATCCACCCTTCTCTTCCACTGGTAAGGACTCGCGGCTTATCCGCCCTTCACCTCTCCTTGCTGGGGAGGCATGGGGGAAGTGGGCCTCCACCTCCCTTTTGTGTGGGATTGCTCCCATTGTCTCCTTTTCCCCCTTTGCCCGGTTCTGTGTGGCTAACAGGAAGTGTGCACTCTGACCCAGACACATTGCTCGCCCCTCGGGCTCCTCTGTGGGTGGGAGGGAGGCCTGGGGAAGGTGGCGCAGGCCGTCCTCAGTACAGTACTGCCTCACCACCTGGCGCGTGCGCTCCGCCCGTGTTCCTTCTTCCCGCAGCCTCGCTTCCTTTGGCTGATTGTGAATTGGGTGAAGGTCAAAGAGCAGATCAGTTTTCCATTCATCAGTTCATGCACATTTTGTCTCATGACATTGATTGCAGGTCTCCCCAATGTACCCCCGCTTCTCCCACTTCCTCCCTGGGTTTCCCGTTTCAACTCCTCCTTTCCCTTGACCCTTCTGAACTTTGGCCTTGGGTCAGTGCTGCCCCTTGGCCCTCAAATGGTGGATTATTCTGAGTGCATATCTCCCTAGTGTTACTGCTCCCCTGGGAGTCCTGTTACCCCACAGGCACCCACCTTGCTGTCAGGAGTCATCGTTGCTGCCTTGCTAGGGAAAGGTTAATTATCAGAACTTGGTTAAACATTAACAAAATATTTAAGTTAAAAACAGACATGCCAGAATGTGATTATTGCTTCCGCACACCACCCTGGGCCGCCCAGTCTCCGGGCCTCGTGTCTTCAGTGAATTCGTGAGTAGTTGCCCAGTAGCTCACCTTCACAGCCTGGTGGCCGGCATCGTGGGCTGCGTGTCGGGCTGCTAACCACAAGGTCAGCAGTTTGAAACTACCAGCTGTTCCTCCAGAGAAAGATGAGGCTTTCTTCTATCTTCTTGGGTCACTATGCGTTGGAATCGACTCAGTAGCATGAGTGAGCTCACCTTCCTTCGATTGGCCTGCCTTTTAGTAAGGTGTTTGTTCGCTGCCTCCCAGTCTGGGAGCTTGAAGGTACCAGGAGAGAGGAGAAACATGATTGGGGCCCTGAAGAAAGAGCCGCCGCTGGTAGTGGCAGTGTGGTCTTGCTGAGGTGGAGTTCACCCGCCTGAGGCGGGGGGAGAGCATTCAAAAGCCACTGCCCTCGTGCTCCTCATTCGTGTCTGCACTTGGAGATCCCTTCAGTTCGTTACCACCATTACTTTCGTCTGAAGAAGTTCCCTCGCTGTACTGCGTCTTCACAGCAGATCACATGGAAGCTCCCTTTTGTTTCGGCTCTTTTCATTTTTCGTGCTCCACGTCCTAATGTTAGGTTTCTGGGGTGGTTTATACCTTGGCTCTTGCTTCTCAACACTGAAAGAATTCATGCGGCAGAAGCACTTTTGTAATCCAAGTCACTTTTATGAGGGAAAGGGACATTTCGGGTATTACCATGGGAAAGTTTGAGACTGAAAATGGCCACTTAAGGGGAGCGCTACAAACCACGTGAACATACTTACCTGACAGGGGAGATACCATGACCAAGAAGGTGGTTTTCCCAGGGCGAGGCTTATCCATTGCACTCCGGATGTGCTGACCCCTGCGATTTCCCCAAATGTGAGAAACTCAACTGCATAATTTGTGGTAGTCTGGGACTGTGTTCGCTCTCTCCCCTGATTAAAAAAAAAACAACCCACATGAACAGAATATCGGAACAGAAGCTCTGGGCCCAGGTTTCCCTTCACATGCGCCCAAGTAACTTGTGACTGGTTTCAGGATGCCCAGTTTAGATTTTCCCATAGGTGTCTAATTAGTGTGCCTGATTAGTGTTCCACCTCCTTTATTGTGGCCCTACCAGCTGATTTCCACTAGCGTAGGCATTTGGGGGAGACAACACCCCCTTTGTCTCTCATCTAGCTCCCTTTCACTAAGAGCTAAAATTAACTTGTATGGCATCTGCCATTGCTGGACTTGAGCGTCAGTGTGGAGTTGACAGTCTGTCACCGGCCTGTTAGGTCTTTCTTAGTCCCCAGGCGCTGCCAGAACAGAAATGCCACGGGGTGCTGTCACAGCAGGAGGCTGCTCTCTCTAGACCAGCTCTGGGGAAGGCTTTCTCTGGCCCATGGTTTAGGAGGAAGGTCCGTTGTCTCACTTCCAAATCTGTAGGCTCAGCATGCTTGGAGACACCAACCTCCCCCTGAAGTTTGGAACTTCCCAGTGCAGGGACCCGGGTCTGCTCCACTCTCTCCTTCATCTCTTGTGAGAACAAAGTGTTGTAGCTACACCCTGGGGCAACTCCCCTTACACTGCAGTGAGAGTGTCACATCCCACCCTCGCTTACCAGATCATGTGACAGGAAATCATTCCATAACCACCACGCCACTGAGGAGCGTGTCCCAGCCAAGTTGACAAGCATTTTAGAGGGACACGATTCAGCCCATGACATGTCCCATAGGAGGTAAAGTGAACGTGCAAAGTTAACACTTGGTGTACGTAACTGAAGGCTATATATATTGTATATACATTTCGGCTCTTCTCTAGGTTTATAACCTTTCAGTGTAAAAAAGTTGGCAAAATTCTCTTCCCTTAACCCCTTGTACAATGTAGATGCTAATTAACTATTAAGTGCAATCCTTAGGACTTCTGTACAGCCTTGTCGTTATAAGTTGGATACACAAAAAGGAGGAACTACAGCATGTGCTTAGTTTGAAAAAAGAAGAAACTGTAGTTAAAGAGAAATAAGTAGAGGATACTGCTTTTAGTGCCACTACTTTGCATGTGGGCAGATAAAAGCTTGCAGAGCCGTGTATGGTGTCTTTCCTGCCGTCGGTGGAGTAGAAACACCACTACGGATACGTTCATTTCCACCTCCTGCAGGACAGCTTCGAGGCCAGCACATTAACCGGAGAGTGCCACCAAGACCTTCAGTCCCTTAGCTGTTGCCCTTACCTCGCAGGGCTGCTGGGGATGGGTGGGGGGTGGGGGGTGGCAGATGTGACCATGCAAATAATAATCAATATTCAACCGGTGTGAAATGACAGATCTTCTCCCCCAAACAGGATAATCTTCAGGGATATAAAACCCAAAATAAATTTCTAAATAAGGAGATTTTGGAGCTCTCGGCCCTCCGGCGAAATGCAGAACGGAGAGAGAGGGACCTGACAGCCAAGGTGGGTCGGGTGGATTAGTCTGTTACCCAGGGGAGGCAGGAGGGCATGGCTGGGAATCCAGGCCCACGGGACGTGCTTTAGACCCAAGGTTGGAGGGACATGGGGTCAGAGGTATCTAAAATATCCCATAGAGTAAGGAGTGCTGTGGACTGAGGCCCATTTTGTCTGTTTTGAAGACAGAAATGCCTTAAGCTCTACTTAGGCCTGTGTGTTTTTAGTTACATTTATAGAGATTAAAAAATACTATTCTGAAGCCCCTCAGATTGAGGGCTGTGGTTACTTGGGTTTTAATGGTGTATATTGCTGAGTGTGATTCAGTGTCTTATCTTTTAATGGGGTGGGGGCGGGGCAGGGCGGGGCGGCTGGTGAACCTGGTGGAATTGGCAGATACAAAGGTGTGGGATAGGGCTTTACCGAGGGTCGGGACACCCCAAACATTACATTTAGAGTCACTTGCCAGTAGCTTATGAAAGTCTTGAAATCATCCCTGCGTATTTTCTGGGGTGCATTTATTTATTGGGATCAAGAGGCAGGTGGGAGCGTGTCTGGGTGGCAGCGTCATAGGGGCATGGCGAAGCATGAGGTGGCCGCTGCTGGTCCTTGTCATTGGCACGGGGCCTGTGTATTGGCATCGTTCTGTGTGTTGCCTCTGGTGGTGTGCCTGTCAGCACCTCCTATGCCTGACCATTAGAAGGAACAGTGCCCCATGGCAGGCCATTTTAAATTAGCAGGTGCTATGGCATGAGGAACCCTTGTGTTTGACCTGATCTGCCTCCCACTTCCTGAGAGTCTGGGGCTTGTCACTTACTGGCTGGCCTGAGGCCCTTATGTATTGCCTTTCCCGTGTCTCCCTGCATGGCGCGCACCACCACCTTCTCTGCAGTACTCAAGCCTCGAGGCCAAGCTCTGCCAAATAGAAAGTAAATACTTGATATTGCTTCAAGAAATGAAGACGCCCGTTTGCTCAGAGGAACAGGGACCTGCCCGGGATGTCATAGCCCAGTTGCTGGAAGACGCTCTGCAGGTGGAGAGCCCCGAGCAGCCAGAGCATGCGCTCATTAAGCCTCATCTTGTCAGGTAAAGGTGGGACCACACGGCAATCCTGTGTCTGAAATCCCCCCTTTGCAGCAGTATAGTAGCCATTCGCAGAGATGGACCCACAGTCCCTTCCTAGTACTCACAAGCCTGTCCTCCTCCCCAGAGTGGACTTGTGATGGGGATGGAGCCCGGTCCACCTCTCTGGACGCCAAGTCTCCTCTTCTCATGAGTGCTGCCCTTCTGCTCCTGCAGCAGGAGGAGCCAGGCTTCTAAGGACTCCGGAGGCTCTCCCGGGACAGATGGACGGGGACACACACACACACACACACACACACACACACACACACGTTTGAAAGCAGAAGTGGGGACTGGGGTTCTTTCCGAGTGGGAAACACCTGGGTGACGGGTCCAAATCCCACCAGACATCTGATAAAAGCCACAGACTCTGCTGCCCGAGTGCACTCGAGAACACACAGTACGCATGCCCCAAATCTTGACTCTCTTTTTAGGGCATTTTCAGAACCTGGAGGCTCATCGGCATCTTGAGTTAATGTATTCCCATTGAGCGTGTTCTCCTTCACGGTGAGCCCACAGGACAGAGTAGACCTGCCTCACAGACTGCGCTGCCTGAGCTTTCTCCCACACAGTGGCTGGTGGAGGTGAACTGCTAGCCTTTTGATTAGCAGCCAGACCCATCAATCTTTGGCTAAGCACCCTATAGCCTATTTTGGGGGGTAGGGAAATGAGACTCCTGAAATACTCGATGTAGGAGACAAAAGCAAATTCACCGGTCCAGCATTCCCGCTGTGTTGGTGCCCTCTAACCCAGAGTCTGATCCCGCAGCCCTGGGCCTGAGCCTCGCTTGTATTCTCCCCACTCTCCCCACGTCTCCAGGGCCAGGGGAAGCTGGGCTTCAGTCTCGCAGGACATTCCCACCACTGAGCTCCCAGCACTGTCTGCATTATGAAGGCTACCCGGTGACGGGGACATGTGCTGTCAGTACGCAGTGGCAGCAGCATGGCCAAAACCCACTCTGCTGGACTCTGCTAAGCTGCATTCCACATGGGGTGCTATTTAGCGCTCAGTGAAGTGGGTTTTTCTAGCCATGCTTAAGAAATGAGGAGGCAAGTGATATAATTTGCCAGGGTCATGCAGCCTGTGGGTGGCAGAGGCGGGACCCCAGCCCTGGCAGCCAGACTCCCAGGCTCAGTGGTTTTGCCCATGCTGACATGTATTCACACCCGTGGGGCGTTCCAGCACAGACATTCCAGGACCCCAGCACTCGTATGCATGCTTCCCACGTGTCTTTGTACTGGTACTGTTTATTTTGTATGTTTTCAAACTTCGTAAATAAGTAGAAGGGCTTTTTCCCTTGACATTCCATGTAATTCAGTCATTCGATCATATTAAGATTTGTGCAGTCATCATCACAATCAATTTCAGAACATTTTCTCTTACTTGTTGTTAGCTCCCCCCCATCCTGCCCTGCCCTGCCCCGCGCCTAGGCAATTATTAATCCCGTTAGTGACACAATAATGCTACCTCTCCTGGATTTCATATATAGAGAGGCATGCAAAACTCATTCAGGAGACAAAGACCAAAAGCAGTGACTACACAAAACAGAAAACCCTTCATTTAAAAAGAAAGCAGAAAAGAATAAAAACAAAACTTTAAAATGAGTCAAAAGAAGACCAAATGATAAAGGGTTACATTGTAATCTAACTATATCCACCATAATTGACTTTACAATGCCAACTGTCTGATAACAAGGCTATTCACATCCCTGGCTATGTTCGGAAGGAATTTCCTGGAGGCTTAAGCCATGTGGGAACCTGCAAATAGACTTTGGGCTTCCACTGTTTTATACAGCCTCTTGCAAACCAAGCATTGGCAATTTAAGCTCAAATATCCCTCCCTCCTTCAGATGCGGATTTTATTATTCAAGTCCTTGGCTCACCCAAGCTGGTGTGCTTCTTCCACATGGACTTAGTTAGACGGCAGCTTGTTTTAAGACAAGCCTCGGAAACCCCAGATGCTGTTCTTTCCGATAGTTAGGTGGAATCTGGTTCTACAATGTGCTGCAGCACCCATATCTTCAGTGATCTCCGTATGAGGGTGAGCATTGAGCAGGCCATGTCTTAAGAACGAGCTCTTAGATTGGGGCTAGAATTAAATGTGAGCCCAGTATCCAATCCTATCTGTGGATTATGTGCGTCTCCGATTCACTTTGGAGACCTCAGTATAATTTTCAGATAGGGAACATTATACATCATCCCCCAAGACGATAAAAAGTATAAAGATGTTTTATGGAAAATTTCAAGCATGCAAAGTAGTGGGTATTAGTACAGTGAAACTTGTAAAAGTCGGACTCGATAGGATTTCAATCTTATCTTCTGGGCCTCAAAAGTCTCCCACCTTTGACAGGTTTTCCACTTTGCCACTTTTCTGTCCCTCATTTTCGTGGAAAATGCTTGAATTTTCCTTCTCTGACAGGCTTCCACATTACATAGATTCTGGCTTTCATGGTCTTTATTGGATAAGAAACTCCATTGTACAACTACACTACTGGCAGCACGTCGGCTCTAAGTCATTGTAGCCCTGTGGAGCAGGGCTGTCAGACCGGGCCCCGCAGGCCACATGCGGCCCCCGAGGTAATTTTTTGTGGCCTGCGATGCTCTGGAATAAAAAGAAAATAGAAAATGTTATGAAGAAAATCCGTTCAGGGGAGATGGAGGCAATACCGTATACTCAAGTCCCTCGTTAACCCTTTAACTACTGAAGGCGAGTATGCACGGGGCCCAGTGCCTTTCCTGGGGGCCACTGGACGTGTATAAACGCGCCGACTTAGTTCCGGCGACGTTTGGAAGCGATATGTCTGCCACTCTGTGTCACATTATGTAAACAAATCCCAATAGCGCAAAGGTTAAAAAGAGCACTCTGGGTTGGCTGTTTTGAATCATACCTAGCGGCAGCGCTAGTTAACATTTTTGGAGGGAAGCCATTACGATTGTGCATCACGTTTGTCAGCTGTCCAACATTTTGGGTTTTTTATTAGTTACTCTTTGTTATATTTCCGGTCACAACCTAAGAGGTAAGTGAAAACTAGTAGGAGGAAAGCGCTGGTAGGTTTTAGGTAAAACAGAATAATTTTAGCTTTATAAATATATTAAATAAAAATAAGTGTTTAAATTAAATAAAAATAAGTGTTTAAATAAAAGCAATTAGATAGTGTTTTAATTATCCTCTCCATATTCCTGAATCCTCACTTCAAAATATAAATTTAACAAAATTTGTAAACGTGATGTGGCCCAAGGGAATCTTGCCTGTGCACCGAATGGCCCGTGGCGTTTTCATGGAGTCTGACACCCCTGCTGTATCAGGCTTCCGAGGCTGCCCATCCTCACAGGAGCAGACAACTCCGTCTTCGAGCTGGAGGGTCAGCAGTCTAATCCTCCACTTGACACCTCTCAGCTTTAATGGTTACTGATGTTTTGCCAACTGTCTTGATTCTCAGCTTCTCACCTCCCCCCTTTCCCCCTGGCATATTTAAAAACAAGTGCCAGACATCATGTGATTTCACTTGTGTAAACACTAGAGAATGAACAGCTTCAAAAAGTTTGTGGGAAGATTCCGTTGTCTTTGAGTTCTATTTTTCTGTGGACTTTTTGAAGCCCCCTCTTGCTGTTTTGTACCCCAGTGCCATCGTAGGCTTATCCTTCTGCAGCTCACCCACTTCTTTCAGCGTTCCTTTCAGAATGCTGTCTGGGTGGAGGTGGTGGCCGCTGAGCATTTCCTCCCGCTGCGCAGCACCTCGTGGCCTGAGTGTGCCACACTGTCCTTATTCCTCGCCCTCGTGGGGGGCCTCTAGGAACCTGCCAGTCTGCCCTCTCGCAGCCTGGACTGCAGTGACCAGCACGGCCTGTCTCCCTGGGAGGGAGTTTCTCCAAGGGAGTGCCTACCCTCCGCTGCGCTCGGTCTGCCTTTCGTAGTGCAAGTGCCCATTCACGCACACTGTGGCTGGAAAGCTGCTCGGATGAAGGCTGACTCAGAAGTCTAATACAGAATTGCTTCGCGGTCTCTTGTCCTAGATCAAGTGTAGAAAGCAGCACGGGTCCATCCGGGTACCCACGCTGCCTTCCTCTCTGGCGCCTCTCAGGGAGAAGGCACTCCTTAACTCAGCCACGTTGTTGGCAACCAGGGTTCCCAGTGCCTTGTGCTGCCCACTGAGGACCTCTGTGCTACTACAGGCCGCAGCGTTGCTTCCTCTCCATGGCTCCCTCCCTGCCTTCATCTTCAGAGCCAGAAACAGCCAGTCAGGTCGTTCTCCACGGGCACGTTGCTCCCACTGCCACATCTTGTGTATGTGTCCCCGAATTTCACTCCTCTGCTCCATGGGTCTTCCTGCCAAGACTCCAACATTGTAACGTGTCCTTTTGTTTCAGTGAGTACGACATCTATGGCTTTAGGACTGTCCCCGAGGACGATGAGGAAGAGAAGCTGGTAGCCAAAGTCCGAGCCTTGGACCTAAAGACTCTCTACCTCACGGAGAACCAGGAGGTTTCCACCGGGGTCAAGTGGGAAAACTTCTTTGCGAGCACGATGAACAGGGAGATGGTGTGCTCTCCAGAGCTGAAGAACCTGATCCGGGCAGGGATCCCCCACGAGCACCGCTCCAAGGTGTGGAAGTGGTGCGTGGACCTTCACACGCGCAAGTTCAAGGACAGCGCGGAGCCGGGGTACTTCCAAGCCCTGCTTCAGAAGGCGCTGGAGAAGCAGAACCCAGCCTCCAAGCAGATCGAGCTGGACCTGCTGCGGACGCTGCCCAACAACAGGCATTACTCCTGCCCCACCTCGGAAGGCATCCAGAAGTTGCGCAACGTCCTGCTCGCCTTCTCCTGGCGGAATCCCGACATCGGCTACTGCCAGGGTCTGAACAGGTGGGTGCCCAGTCCACAGGCGCTTCATTGGGGGGCTGGCAGGAGGACGTGTGGGTGCCTGGTACTATCTGAGACTCCCTCCCCTCCTAGGCCAGGGTCAGCCAGTCCCGTAGGGAAGAGAACTAGCTGCCGCACCCTGGCTTTCCTGATGCAAGAAAGACCCCCGATCCCAGAGGGGTCCCGAGAAGCGAGCGCGTTTTTAGAAAGTATCAAGAGCATCCGAGTCAGATTCCTCTGAGACAACTCGGTTCCTCCTTGCCTCACACCGGGTTTTTGATGGGAAGGTGATTTCTCGATAAGGGCTGAAATGAGTCTTGGGGCACCCTCTTTGCCTCCATGGGGTCTGTGTGCCCCCAGCAGTTCTCCAGCCTATAGCAGCCCAGACGTGTCTTTTTGACTGTCACCCTCCAAAGGTCTTGCACACTTGCTTCCCTGCAAAGCTGGGGGCACAGAGTAGTCGCTTGCCTTTTCTTAGAGACGTGGCCGCCTCCCCCAGCTGTGCTAGGACCCGACAGGCCTGCCCTCCAGTCACTGCTCCGGGACTGGGCTGCCTGAGGGCTTGGTTCAGCTGGCTCTGTGCAGCCTGCCCGATTCCTACACTTGCTGCATGTTTGCTCTCTGCTGCGGCGGCTGTAACTCTCGTTTCTGCGCCACCCTGTGTATGGGCTTGGGTGCCCAAGTTTGTCAGAAATACGGATACAGTAAGAATGGTGAAGGCCTGGGAGTGCAGTGCGTGAGCTTGAAGTTTTGAGGACTGGCACGCACCTGGCCTAAGGCCTCTTTAGCCCCAATGAATTGTGCCAGCTCCAGAACTCTGGGTAAGGGAGGTGTTGGCATCTTAAGGCCAAGCACCGCAGGAGGAAAGGCTTTAACCTGGAACAGTGCTCGTTAAGACCGGAAATGAGTCATTTGCAGGAAGTCCTTGGCTCTGGTGGTGAGGAGAGGGCAGTGTCTCTCTCCCTCCCTCCTCCCCCTCCCCCTCTCCTCCCCTCCCTTCCTCCCTAGTACTGCCTGAGGCTTCCCCCCCTCCCCTTGGAGGGAGAAGGGTCAGCTGTCCCTGAAGAGGCCCCCATGAGCCAAAGCCTGGGACAGCCTGGTAAAGCATCCTTGTTTTATCAAATTCCCTACCTACGAGCTCCTGGAGGCTGAAAGCTTCTCTAGCCAAGGGAGCCTAGTGAGGTCGCCCGCCCGCCCGCCTGCCTGCCAGGCACCCTAAGGAAAGCCACCTTCCCATCCCTGCGGGTGCAGTGGTGTTCCGTTTATCTGGTCTTGTCCTGGCCTTAGTCCATCCAGACATAAGGAATGTTCTCTGAACTTCCACCGCCGCCAGCATTCACTCTTCTAAAGATGAGCTTTCACTGGAGTTTCTTTCTCAAAATCCGTGTGTGCACCCACAACTTCAGTGGGGGAATGCTCTCCTGCCTCGTGGCCTAGGCCCCCCATCTCAGGCGGCAGGTCAGTTAGTGAGGGGTGACAGGCGTCCAAGTGGCTGAGGGCCGAGGTGTGCTTTCTGTGTCCCCTTCCTGTGCTCGCCCCACTCTGCTCTCCATTCCTCCTCTGCCTGCTGGAGGCAGCCCCTTCCTACCGCCCATGACTAGAGACGAGATCTTTACCCTGTTGTCAGGGAGGGGAGCCCCCAAGCAGGAGCTTCAGCAGTGTTTCCTGCATGGGGGGTGCGAGGCTCACTCTCTCCGTCTACCACACCTGGGACACACACCTGAAGTGACTGATGCCTGCGTTCCCCTTTCCCCCAGACCACAGGCAGCCTGGGCTCACCCCCCCTCCCCCGTTCCAGGCCACTGGTGGCCATGGGCTCACTCCTTCCAGGGGCCTCTCCTCCCAAAAGGGTTTCTGTATCCAAACCAGTCTCACTCCTCCGGCCTGGAAGCTGGCTGATCCTGGGAACGTTTTTTTCTATCCCCCATGTGATCTGTCATTTCACACTCACAGTTGCCTCAGCGTTTCTTGCCCATAAAAGGCCCTGTGGGAACCTCTGGAGCACTCAGAATTTGCTGCATTAGCAGACAGTTTTGTCATGTCAACAGACCCCTCCCGCTTTCTTTCTCTTCAATGGGAAGCATTCTGAACCTTGTTGGACAGCGTGGCAGGGGGAGTGTGGCTTTGCTTCTCCGGCGGGACAAGGTGCCTCATGTGCTCAGGGCCACACAGGCCCGCTCTCTGGGAGGACTCGGCGCGGCACTGGCCGGAGCATGGCGCTGGACAGCGCCCAGGGTGCTCCTGCTCAACTTGTACCCTTTGCTCCTAGATTGGTGGCGGTGGCCCTCCTGTACCTGGAGCAAGAAGATGCTTTCTGGTGTCTGGTTACCATAGTGGAAGTGTTCATGCCTCGGGACTATTACACAAAGACTCTTTTAGGATCCCAGGTACTTCTCAAACTGCTGTGTTTCAGGCCCTTGGAGGATGCTGGGACAAGACCAGGCTGAGGCTGTGGGCTGTGGACTGTGGACTGTGGCAAAACCAGTCAGTCAGTTGTTAAATCCCAGTGAGAACCCCACAGTCTCTTTGCTGCTCAGCAGCTCTTTCTCCTCTGGGAAGCTCAGTCTGGACCCTGGGGCACTGGGGATCTGGGCAGATCTGCTCTGGTTCTCCAGGAAGAGACGATGGGATGGGGTTAGAAGAACAGGAGACATGTGATGGGGGCGGGGGCTTCCTCACCAGAGGAAGCAGTTCTAAGGAGGTTTCAGCTAAGCCAGTCAAGAGCCCATCCACCCAGGTTCCCTGTGGAATGGGCCTGCAGGAGTGCCCCCGCAGTGGGACCTCCTTGGAGCACTGTTGTGATGGATCCAGAAGGGCAGCTGCTGGGGCCCTTAGCAGGGGGTCTGAGCCCTGCACACCACGTTCACACATCAGGACTCTGAAACCGGGGACAGACAGCGTGGGATGCTGTGGGCTGAGAGAGCCCTAATGTTGTGTCCGTGCTTAGGGCAGCCCTGTCCTGAACCCCCAGCCCCTGTGGCCCAGGCCAGCTCTTCCCTGGGCTGGGAGGGGCTGCTGCTGACAGGGGCTTCTGTACATACCTTCTCTGCTGCTGTCTGGCCGTCTGTGGCGTCCAGCCGTCTGCCCCTGTCTGCACTCGCCTCTCCCAACCTCGGGCCAGTGCTCGGCTGCTTGCTCACAGATCCATCCAGCTCCCAGCGTGGGCCCTCCAGCCCCCGTCAGCTGCCCAGACGCAGTACCCTCTGTTGGGTCTGTACAGTGCTTTCTGTTCCCCCATCCTGTACGTCTGCATTTGTACCTTTGGGAGAGGATTTGCCTCCTTACTGGCTACACTGCTCATCTCTCTGGCTCCCCATCCAGACTCAACCTTGTCTTTCCTTCCTTCTCCGTCCACGGAGTCACTGCTTGGTCTCTGCCCCCTGCCTAGTGGGCCTCATATTTGTATGCCCTCTGATCCCTCACCCTGCCAGGTCACCATCACCTCTCCCCTGCACCTTTGCGACTGCCTTCTCCAATTCCTTCCCCACCCCCATTCTCAGATGCAATCATGCCACTCCTCACTGGAGTCCCAGGGTTCCTCAGAGCCTCAGGGCAAAACCCAGCGCCTGCCTGTGTGGGACCCAGGGGGTCCCTCCCCCCACCCCACAGCCCCTGCTAGACCACTGTCTCTGCTGCCTACTTGCCTGGCACTGCTCGGCGGCCCCTAGCAGCAGAAGGGCACGCATGCCTGACCTCTGAGCTCTCCACCAGGAAGGGAGAGCGTGAACTAAGAGCACCAGCTTCCCGGAGGAACCCCTGTGAGCTGCAGGGATCGTGCGCCCTCTCACAGGGGAGAACCTCGAGGCTCAGAGACACTACTAGCCCCAGGTGTGGTCACAAGCCTCTGTGGATCTGGGCCCAGGCTCCCCCCACTCGGCCCACTCCTCATAGAATGTTGCAGGCCGACGAAGAGATGGTGCTGAGCTCTGACCTCCCGGGAGCAGCTGTCCCCATGGAGCCATCCCCTGTGGGTTCCCTGCCCCAGATGTCAGAGATGGCAGCTGGCCCCTGAGAAGGCTCAGTTGTGTGTGTCACAGCTGTGTCAGGTCGGAACTGCGCAGCAGCAGGAGGGGGTGGGCAGGGAGTGTGCTGTGTGCGTGAGCACCTGGTAGCTGAGAGTTCTGAAAACGCTCAGGTGGCCTTGGTCCCAATCCCACTGAGCATGGTTAGGGAGCCAGGCCCCTCCTTTGGGTGGAGGATCCTGGACCCACCACTTCATGCCACAGTTCCCCACTCGCCAGGTGAGGATGACACCCCCTTGATAGAAACTGCTAGAAGTTGAATTTAGATGCTGAATAAAGAGAGATTAGCCAACACGCAGTGTTACGAAAAAGTCAATAATACTTACTATTAATATTGTTATTATGAACAAATGTTGTTATTCTAAGCAAATAATATTGTTATTATAAGCGTGTGGCGAAAAATTTTGTTCATCTGCCTCATAAACGTAAACTCCCTTATAAAAAAATAAGGCACTTGCTGAAAAGAATTAGGCAACATAGAACGCTATTAAGAAGAACCTGAAAATCACCTGTGCTCCTACTAAGTAGTCACAGGGGAGCTTCCAAGGAGCCCTGGTGGCGAGTGGTGGGCTTTATGGGTTGGTCTGCTAACCCCAAGGTGTCAACAGTTCGAAACCAGCAGCCAAGCCAAGGAAGGAAGATGAGGCTTTCTGTTTCCATGAAGCTTCTCAGAAACCCACTGGGCAGTTCTTGGTCCTGTTGGGTGGCTAGGAGTGGCCGTTGACCACGTGGCCTTTTTTTCCCCCTTTTCTTTTCTTTTCCCCCCTCACTGGTCTTTATCCCCCTGCGGGTCTCTGGGCTGGGAGCATTTCCCCATGCAGACTTCCTCAGGGCCTCCGTGGAAGCACTGGCATTTCCCCGGATGTTTGCACAACTTAATCTCCTGGTTCCTCTGACCCAGGGTGACATGGGAAAGCTTAGCTGAGCAGGGGCCTGGTGAACAGCTCTTGCCAGGGCCATGTGCCTGCTGCCGCCGGCGTCCAGATGCTGGCCAGCTGCCCCGTCACTTTGTCATTTGGGTGAGTGCCCAGTGAGATGAATGACACAGTCATTCCATGTCCTCCAGGGGCTGAGACAGCCGACCGTGTGTCCCTGGCAGCCTCCTCCAAGCCCAGCCCTCTGCCAAGCACCCGGGCAGCCTCAGGGATGTGGCTAGTCTGCGCCTAGTTGGGAGAAGAGCCAGACGTGGGCCTTCTCCCATGTTGAGGACAGCTTACACTTCCTTCCAGGATTTTGACTGACCCTGCAGGCAGAGTGCCTCACTGGTCCATCGTCCCTCCATGCCCAGATGCCCCGCACTGGCCAGTGCCAAGCGGGAAGTGTGGCACGTAGTCCTACTGTTGCTGGTGTTTGAACATGGAGAGACGTTAATCCAGAAATACAGGCCGAAAAGGGTGCCCGTACTAGTGAGTGGTGCTGACTCTGCCCTTGGGAAGGAGCTGGAGGGGCCGGGGGCGGAGCAGGCTTCCCTGCCAGGGGAGCTCCCAGGGAGGCCCTGCAGGCCTGGCTTGTCCTCAGAGTCACTCATGTGCATGGTGGGGAGGTTCTCCCCAGCTTTCTAAAGGGCTTTGGGGAGTTTTATCCACTTAGAACTTTATGGTGTAGGGTGGGGGTGAGAAGGTGAACATTTTTAGCAACTAGAGAATGGTTCTACAACTTGTTATACTTTTGGGTTTGGATGTTTTTTTTCAAAAGTTTTAAGGAAAATTAATAATTTCAGTTTATACTTTTGCCTTTTTTCTTTCCCAGAAAGGGTCCAAAATACATATTTCTACATAGAATTGCATGTTGTGTTGTCCTTTCTGCACCATAGGGCAGATTTGCAACTTTCAGTCATTATTTTAATGATATTTTTAGCTATTGTTTTGCATTTAAAACATCTAGCCTCCAGTTTGTAAGGCCCACCTACACTTATTTAACCATGCCTTCTCTTCTGTCTCTCTCTCTCTCTCTCATACACACACACACATACACATACACACACATTTTTGTTAAGCCTTTAAAGAAAAACAATTTCCATGAGGAAACAAAATTGATTTTGATTAAGTTGTAGATTGTTTAGGTATCTCAGTGTCCCAGGAATCCCAAGAATTGTCTCAACTTTAGCCCTAAACTGACTGATGTGCAACTGGAAGTTTTGCAGGAATTTCTGGAATGTGTTCTTAGGAGCAGATTTGCTATAGGATGTGAGCATCTTCCTATTTTCTGGAACCAGCTCACGAGCCCTGCAGAAGGGCGGGAGCCGCTCTACCCAGGAGAGGACTTGGTGTCCACTTCCATGGCCTCCTGGTGCAGTGGGTGTCTCTTCTTCTTCCACGTGGAGCGCCCTCTCTCCTGTGCCTCAATTTGTGAGGCTTCCACGCCAAGCCCCGTGCCTCAGAGGCTTGCTCTCCTCGGCCCAGCTCATTCTTGCTCAGGTGATGCTGCCCTGTGGTGACATCTCTGTCCAGCCTGGTCTCCCACGGAGCCTCAGCCCCTGGGGAGCCCGGGGGAGATGCCCCTCAGGTCCCAGCGTGTCCCACACTCGCTCTCGCAGTCCAGCCCTTCCTCCTGTGATCTGGACTCAGGGGACCTTTCCCTCCTCTGCTTCAGATCAGAAGCACCTCCTTTCCTTGACCTCAGCTGCCCCCAGTAGGGTTTCTACCTCCACAATAGGCCTGAGCCCTCGTGCCCTCCATCCTGCCTGCCTTCCTCCCCTCCTCCTAGACCGAGGCTGGAGTCCCCACCAGCCCAGCATGTGCATGCATCTGTGTTTTGCATAGGTACACACAAGTAAAGCCTTGACTGGTGACTGTCAATAGCAGGTTTTTCTTGGTCAGAGAAAAAGAGCCAGGGCCAGCCTCTGCCTGGAAGATGATGTCCTGGCTCTCGGTGACATTCTGGCCTCCGAACCAGCTTTGCTGACTGCCCTCCCCTTTCCTCTGGTTCCTGCGGGCTAGTCTCTAGGCCTGGTCGGGGCCCCTCTGTGGGCTCCCATGATGCCCTGTGAGCACACAGACTGGGGCCCTCGATGCAGTTGCTAGAATTAGCCATCTTTCTGGTCTTCCCACTGGTCTTTCAACTCCTTGAGCTGCACTGTGTTCCTCCCTGGGTGGCCAAAGCGCAGTCAGAACCACTTGTCGCCCTAGGTGTGCTGCACAGGGTGCTTTCTGAAGGCCCCGCCCTCCCCACAGCAGCTGTCCGCAGCGCGTCCCCAGCACAGAGCTTTCAGAACCTCACCTGCTGGCAGCACCCCCCCCAGCTCTGAGTGATCGAGCTGAGATTCAGATTCAGTACCACCTGACTCCAGAATCCTTGCTGCCCTGACTGCCCTCCTTAAGAAGTAACTTCAAAATGCCATTGAGTCGGTGCAGACTCATGGTGACCCCCGGGTGGCAGGGTTTTCTTGGCTGTGATACTCAAAGAAACAGGTTGCCAGGCCGTGCTTCCGTGGAACCATCACCTCTAGGTAGACTACGAAGAGTCCAGTCATACCGGCCGGTGGATACTGACTGGACCCCGCTGATGCCACTCTCTGTGGGCTCACGAAGGGCACCTGTCCAGGCTCCATTCATGGGCCTTTGTATGCTGTTCTCCCAGTGCTGCACGTACTTGCTGACAGGTTCTACGGCTGTTAATGCCCCGGGCCTTACAGGAAGGTCCTGCCCATCAGGGGCGCTTGATGAGGGCCTTCTGTGCGAGCACAGCAGGGGGACCCAGTGAGCGTGGGGAACGGGCATTGTGGCTGGCCGAGTGCTGGGCCCCATGCCCTTTGCTCTTGGCTCTCCCTCCAGGTGGACCAGCGGGTGTTCCGAGACCTCCTGAGCGAGAAGCTGCCTCGCCTGCACGGCCACTTTGAACAGTACAGAGTTGACTACACCCTCATCACGTTCAACTGGTTTCTGGTGCTGTTTGTGGACAGTGTCGTCAGTGACATTCTCTTTAAAATATGGGACTCCTTCCTGTACGAGGGACCTAAGGTGTGTGTGCCCCACGCTACTTACTGTTCACAGGTGGTGACTCTGGGCAGCGTCATTGGTGGCCGAGGGGCTGGCCCACCTGTAAGGGCTCCCACCGCCCTCTGGACGGGCACAGATTGCCTCTGGAACTACCTCCAATTCAGAATCCTTGATTCTGGTTATATTTTAAAATGATTTCTAAGTCCTTGTCCTTTGCGGACTAGAAATGTAAGCTGAATCTTAACGTGTCCCATGAGCGTGTACTCTGTACAGAAGCGGTTTGATCTTGGCGGCAGGGTTGTGGGCGGAGCCCTAGAGGATTCCATTTTTTATTTGTTCGTTTCCTGTCCCTTCTGGGGGTGGTGGTTCTGCCTGAGGTCAGGAGCTCCCTGGGGGTGCCCCCACCCCTGCTAGCCATGCTGCCCCGGGGAAGGGGGTGGTGCTGGAGCTGTGCTGGGCTGTGCTGCTGGTCTCCGCTGATGAGCTGCTCTGCCCGTCCCACAGGTGATTTTCCGTTTCGCTCTGGCGCTTTTCAAATACAAGGAAGAAGAGATCCTGAAACTGCAAGACTCGATGTCCATATTCAAATATCTCCGTTACTTCACACGCACTATTCTAGATGCTCGGTGAGTCCCTGAGGGATTCTGAGCCATCAAACCCCGTGTTGACTCACAACGAGCCTGTAAAGATTGGGGGGGGGGGTGTTGAGTGCCCCGTGGGGTTTGGAGACTGGCAAACCTTTATTATGGGAGCAGACTGCCGCAGCTTTCTACCAGTGGGCAGGGGCTGGTGGGGTCCAGCTGCTGCCCTTGTGCTTAGCAGCCCAGCATGGTGCTCTTCCTAGACACCAGAGTGGCAGCCCGGCCTCGGCATGCTTGACTGAGACGTATGGAGCTCTGAGCGCCAGGGGCTCCCCAAGACCAGGGAGGCTGAGAGCAAAGGATGGTTTTGCCTTTAACCTTCGTCCCAAGAGCCAGAAGCAACACTGGCATTTGTCTGGCAGGCATTGGTCCAGTGCCTACTGTGTGCTGAGCACAGGGCAGAATAGAGCAGGAACATCCTTGGAAAACTTGTGGGACAAAGGTTCCCAGCACCATTAGCTCAGTTGCAGTCGGGAAGCGCAGGCTGTGACCAGCAGGGTCAGCTGGAGGGAGACAGTGAGGACAAGCTGGGCTGGGCAGAGAGGCATCAGGCATAGTGGCACAGAGCCATGAGAGCTGAGGGTGCTTGTGGAACCGCAGATGTGCCTCAAAGGGACCCTGATGGTGCTGAGACCGTGAAACCGGAAGGCTGGCAGTGCTGGTCCAGCCAGGATCCCATGGGAGGGAGGCCTGGTGACCTGCCCCATAGAGACTGCAGCAGGGCGTCCCGTGGGTGTTGGCTCTGATTCAGGGTCTCGGGTAGCATACAGTGACAGTAACAGCAGTGGGTCTGGCAGGCCGGCCCCAGCTCCCTAGGGGACAGAGAAGGGCTGGGCTGGAGGCTGGGCTGTTACAGCCCTGGTAGACCTTGGGCAAGACTTTGTGCCCTGTCCCGAGAGTGCTCCAGAGCTACTGCCGAGTGGGCCACAGTAGACGGGCATGTCAGACTGGGGCAGCACTGGTAGCTGAGATGGGGTGGGGTGGCTGTTCTGGGTCCAGGTGAGAGAGGTGGTGCCCCCAGAGGTGGAGAGGTCTGTTGAAGAGTGCGTGGAAGGAGAATTTGAACATAGGAGACCCCTAGGTCTCTGGCCTACACAGCTGGGTGTTCAGGAACCCTGGAACCACCCCCCACTCCCCAGCCACATGGTCCTGGCCTGTTCTCAGTGCTTTTGTTGTCCACTGCCCCCTAGAACACAAGAGGTGGCTGTAGGCTGGGCCAGGTGCTTCTGCACAACCACAGGGTTGTGCAGTCGGTGTCTGCAGACCTGCTGCTGCTGTGGCTGTGTGATGGCCCCATGTTCCCAGCTCTCAAGGTGGTGGTGACGTGAGGATGCCAGCGTGCATAGGCTGCCGTCCCCTGCACCCGACTTTGCATACCCATGACCCCCACCAAACCCATCACCAAGAACAAACCCAAACTCATGCCATCGAGTCGATGCTGACTCATGGTGACCCTAGGGGACAGTAGAACCGCCCCTGAGCGTTTCCCAGACGGTAGCTCTTTCCAGGAGCAGAAAGCCCGCCGCTGGTCACTGAGAGACACTGAGGGCCTAAGCCTGGTTTTGAACTGTTTGGGGCTGTGACCTAGGACACACGTATTAGAGGGTGTGTAGCTAAGGGCCCCTGCAGCACATGTGGTGGCTTTTCACTAAGTCCTGTGTCATGTTTAAAATGCTCATCAGGACCCATTTGATGGATTTCCTGAAAAACTCCCACAAGCTTCCTGCAAAACTCGGCCTGGCCCTCTTGAGCTCCATGAGCTAGCCCAGGAAGCACCCTCCTCAGGACTGGCTGGGTGAGGAGCAGCTGAAGCTGGCCAGGGCTGAGACGGGGGTGGGGTGGGGGTGGGATGGGATGGGGGTGGTGTGTGTGTGTGTGTGTGTGTGTGTGTGTGTCCCCGACCACCTTCAGATGCTGCGCTTTGTGGTTCTGGTGCCAGTGAGGTGACAGTGGAGCAGGACATGCTGGGCCAGGCCACGTTTGGTGTCCTGGAAACGTCACTCACTGGAGGGTCTTGTACTGGGAGTGGGTTTTTAAGAAACCCCCTGTTTACCACACCAACTACAGTGACCTGCTTCGTGCTAACTTCCCGCAGATCCCGAGCGCCCCCAGACTTGGTGAGCTTCCCACCACCTCCCTCACTCCTAAAGTGGTTCTAAATGCGCCACAGTGCAGGTCCTGCTCTACCCCTCCCAGCACTGCCCAGCTGTGTGGTGCTGCAGCGCCCTCTCCTGTGCGGTTCCGGTATGGCCTCTGCTGGCTTGTCTTGGAAAGCAAGGGCCTGTCCAGGCCTTGTCAGGGCTTCACCAAGGGCCAGGCCCACCGGGTGTCATTTAACAGTGCAGATGGCTGCAGGCAGCAAATTTCTGTTCACAAGGGTGGAGGGTGAGGAGGTTTGCACCGAACACACAGGGATTGTGGATTGATTTATGTTCTGCCCGGTGCCGTGTCAACAACAGCAAAAAGTAAGTTATTGAAGAAAAAAGAATGGAGGTGCCTGGCCCCACTCCCGGGCTCATGGTTCCCAGTGAGGCCAAGGGCAGGGCGTGATGCATTAAACGAGGTTAAGCCCGTCTCTCTAGCTGCCCCTGTGGGAGCTGTGGGCTACTAAGCATTGTCCCCTCATCTCTGGAGGGGCAGTGTCCAGGTCCCCGAGTGCCCCCCCCCTGGTGCCTTCCCTCAGGACTTGCAGCCGGAGCTCACGGTCACAAAAGCGGTGGGCGTGGGAGGGCTCCAGGTTGTGGAGCCCGCAGGCTGTGGCAGGGGCATGGCAGTGGGTGCGCTCCTGGTCCGCAGCCCGCCAGCGTGTGGGTTCACGCCGTCCCCCTCAGCCGCACTGGCAGAGGCAGCGCTGCGCGCCAGGCCAGCCCTGCTTAGACCTCGCTGTTGGGCTGCCTCCTCGCCCGGGGACTGGGCCCGAACAGCGGACCCTTCTGCCCTTTCGCATTTCGGGAGAACCTCTGGCTGGGGGCAGACATGTAAGCAGTGGGGACTTGATGCTTACCAAAGGCGGCAGGTGGGCTAACTTGTGTCCATGTGTGTGCCTCTAGCTACTTCCCACGTCTGGAGTAGCTTAACGGCAGAGCATCGTGTGTCTGCCGCACACCAGGACGTCCCTGGGGACATCTCTGTGTCAACACAGCCAGCCTCTCTGGGAATGAAGCCTCTGGGGGCCACTCCCCCACCCCACCCCACCCCAGAGACCAGTGTGACCAACCCAGTTAGTGACCCCAATCCACCATTCAGCGACGACACTGGTTCTGTTTTTACACCGTTGATCAGTGGCTGGGAGCAAGTTCGCGTGGGTTTTCAGACTGGTGCTGTGACAGGGCGAGGTGAAACACGCCCCCCAGTTATCTGCACACACTCGTCACTGCGCCTGCCAATGGGCTGACCCTGTGGTGGTGTCTGCCTGGGCTCTGGCGCCTCCCTGTTCAGTCGGCCCCTGCTGTCCCCAGTGCACAGTGAGAGATCGGAGCCCAGAGCAGGTCTGTGCTCTACCTCGCCCGTGGTGGGACAGAGACAGAATCTAAGTCCAGGACAGGCGCCCACTCACCCCGTCTCTGCCCTGCCTCCCGCCAGGAAGCTGATCAGCATCTCCTTTGGCGACCTGAACCCGTTCCCTCTGCGCCAGATCCGAAACCGGCGCACCTACCACTTGGAGAAGGTGAGGCTGGAGCTGACAGAGCTGGAGGCCATCCGGGAGGACTTCCTGCGGGAGCGGGACACCAGCCCTGACAAGGGGGAGCTGGTCAGCGACGAGGAGGAAGACACCTGAGTGGACGCCCCTCCCCCAAACCAGGATGTGCTCGCGTCGTCTTCACCGCCAAAGCCTGCTGCCGGGAGCTGCGGCGCCACCTCTGCCTGCCACGGGATCTCCCAAGGCCACCCAGCACTTGCTCTCCCTCTCAGGCAGTTGGGTGGGCAACTCGTTTACAGCCGCTGACAAGGTTCACGGTCCTGATTTCCGGCCCTCATGAAATGTTGGCTGCCCTGTGTGGCGTCTGTTGGCTGCCCAGGGGTCCTCCCACCTAGGAAGCCTACTGGGCAGGGCCGGTCCCTGAGTGCTGTCCCCTGTATGTGGCAGCAGCCATGCATGTGTGGGTGCGTGTGTGTGCACGTGACTGCCCACTGTGCTCAGACCTCCTGGGCCAGGTTGGGGCTGCTTGCGGTGCACAGGTGCGTGGAAAAAGCAAGCACATCCCTTGTTCAGAGATGGCCGGTGGCCCTGCCTCTGGGGGCTTCGAGCTGTCTGCTTTGCCCAGTCCTGGATTAGCTTTTGCTCTCCCTGAACACCTTCAAAACGTGGCCCCGTGCCCTCTAGACGTCCCCACTGACTCATCAGCCGCCCACCTCCACCCCCGCCTGCTCTCTGCCCCAGCTGAGAGCTGACCCAGGGGTCTGTGGGCGTCTCTTCCACTTGAGGAGGCCTCAGAGAAGGCCTGTGGGTCATCGCAGGGCCTGCCCTGGGGCAGTCGTGGTTGGTGGGGGTGTGAGGGTGGGGCATTGCACACTGAGCAGCCCCACAACCTTGCTCTTGGCTGTCTCCTCCACCTGGCGGGACAGGAGTGAGGGGCAGGCCCACTGCAGGTCCCCTGGCCCCTATGTACCTTTCCCTGGGCCAAGGCTTTGGTGAGCTCTCCCGCATGCCCCTTCCCCACAGTAGCCCAGAAGCAACCTTACCCACCCCCTCAAGCCAAACATGGCGCCCACTTGTGAGGGCCCCATGGCCCCTGCCCATTGGGCTGCCAGGCATGTTCTGGACACTCTCCAAGCACTCCCCTTGGAGCCCCGAGATGCTCCACCTGGTGTGCCTTCGGGCGCAGTGCTGCCTGAACCCACCAGATGGCAGGTGGCAGTCCTCACTGCCTGGCAGAGGTGAGGAGAGCCCTTAGCCGGTGTGTGTTATGCACACTCAGACAAGAAGGGAAACGGTGTCTCGAGATGTGCTGCTTTTTTTCCGCTTCTGTTGGTAAGTGTGAATTTTGTTATTTTTCACGGTCAACTTCCCACTGAGAGCCAAGAAAGTCCTTGAGCCTGCTGGGCTGAGCGCCCCTCATAGTCCAGTTCAGCGGGTGACCTGATGGCTGTGGGGAAGGGACTGCTGGGCTGAAAGTACACAGCCCCAAGCCTCTGTCTGTCTCCAGGGGTCAGACACAGGGGTCTTTTTTTCTTTTTATGATTTTTGTTTGTTTGGGAGAGTGGCCATTTGAGGTCAACTACTTAAGAGAGTTCCTTTGTGGGTGGGGTCTGCCCTGCAGCAAGGAGGCACTATGCTGATGTCTCACTGCTGTTCACAGGACCTTGAGGGGGACCTCCTTGTGGCTGCTGGGACCAGGAGACACCTACACACACACACACACACACACACACACACACACACACACACACACACACACACAACCGCAGCCCCAATCCCTCCCCCTGATGTAAGGAGAGGACAGCTGTGGCCTAGGGCAATGACTGCTGAGGGAGGGGCAAGAGGACTGGGCTGGGCCCTTGGAACATTCCAGCTAAAGTGACCTTTAGGAATGGGCCCCGCAGCTCTGAGATGTATCTTAAAAGCACTTGATTGGGGGCCTGCCCAGGTGGCTGGAAGCCCTAGTTTCTGCCATTCCATTGTAAGTGACAGCGGGGTGTCAGCATATCAGGGCCATTTCTGCCAGTGGGCAGAGAAGAATGCAGCCAGGAGGGTCTCCTTCCTGGAGGGAGTGCATGCTGAGCCGAGCTCTGGTTCTGGATTGGGGACACAGCATGCGGCTGACTGTCCCATGTAACCATAGGGTCTGGTCCCTGGTGTGAGCCAACGCTGCTCGCCCCCCACTGGGGAGACAGGCTGCTCCATGTCCTCTGTGGCCCTGTGATGCCGGACTGCCACTGGCCCCCAGGCTGTGTGCCCTTCCTGACTGACGCTGCTGCAGCTGCTGCCCCGGCCCATCACCAGGCTGGTGCCTTGCAAGGTGGGCCTCTCCGAGTGGGGCAGGGGCCCAGAGGCAGCCTGCGTGCCATGCCCACTACCATCCCAGGGCCCAGGGCCACTGCCCGCTTGTTCGTAGATGGGATTTTGTTTTTAATGGGTTGACCACATGTTATACTTTTGTATATTTTCACTACAGTTTATATTTTTATAGGCTCTATTTTATCGAGGTTTTCTTACATTGTGTACGTCCACTCTGTGTAACAACTCTGTGTGTGTGCATGTGCGAACGCGTGTGTCCGTGTGCTGTGAAGGACAGCTCCAGCCACTCTCCCTCCGGGCCATCACCCACCTCCAGCCTTGGCCGCCCCCTCACTCTCCCCAGCCCACCATCGGACCCCAGGTTGGCCAGGTGCTGCTTCTGGCAGCCAGGACGGCGGATGGACAGACACCTAGAGACAGCTCTGGCTTCAGTGCGGCAAGATCAAGCACAGTCCCGATCTCTGAGTGAACACACCGCTGTGTGGGCCTGTCCTCACACAGACCCCCAGCCATGGCTGCCTTCCTTCCCAGGGCCCAACCCCCAAGCTGGGCCTGCCCGGATGCCCTTGGGGGGGTAGGAGTGGGTGAGCCTCTCACAGGAACAGTGCCAAAGGACCCCTTCCGCACACGCACACACATACACACTTTTATATCGCAGCAGCTCCAGTGCTGGTCTTTTAGAATCATAATCCTGAAGGAAGAAATAAACTACTAATTTGTATTATGTTCCAGCCAGACCTGCTATTACTCCTTGTAACGGGGCTAAGCCCCAGAGCCTGGGGAGGGGGGTGGGGAGGACGGGACCTCTTCCACATGCCAGCTGGGGGTTCCCTTGCTCGGTGCTGGGCTGAGTGGACCTCGAGTGGCAGACACCTCTCTGGCCAGCAGCTGTGAGGCGCCTGCCTGAGTCATGGCTTGTTTGCCTTTCAGCCCAGCTGCCATTGAGGACACCACACCCCTGCCCCCCATCGTCGGAAAAACACGAGGATGATTAAGACCAAATGTCTTTCCACAAGAGGGAGGTGGCGCAAGGGCAGCTCCAGCAGGTTCCCAGATAGCCAGAGCCCTGGTCCGGTGTGACTGGGGCTTCCTGGGGTCACACAGCATATGAGCCCAAGAGCTCCGCCCCTCCCAGTGTGGAGTGTTAGGGGCCAGGGAACTGCTCCTTACCTGCCTTTGGTCAGGGCTTACCACCCTTAGCAGCTCTGGCTGGCTCAGGCCTAGGACGCCATTACTCAGTGATGGGTCCCCAGGGCCTCCCTGGCCCAGCCAGGCTACAGACAGGAAACAAGCCAGCCTGCTGCTACCCTGCTCTTCAACCTCAGACAATGGTGTGGCCAGGGGGGCTCTGGGCCACTCGAGCTTGTGACAGCCTGTCCGTCCCTCCAAGTCCATCCAGAGGGCCTGTGCTGGGCTGTCCTGCCTGCTCAGAGGGCAGAGGCAGAGAGGGGTGCAAGGCCTAGTGTGGGCCAGTTCCCCTCAGAGGCTCCAGCTTCTCTGAAGACGGAGCATGGCATGCAGGGCAGCTGAACACGCACAGCCGGGATAGATAGCCTGGTTGTGAAGTCTCAGTACCCCAGGGGTGGCTCTCAGTGATCTGCATCAGCACACCTGCCCAGCCTTCAATCCTGGCTACATGGCCCTTAGGCCACCAGGCACATACACCCAGGGCCCCCACTTGAGCTGGGCTGCGACTGACCTGCACCCGCAGTGGCTCTGGCCAGCCCGGTACTCGGAACCTGCCCTGACAGCGTGGAGGAGGGCTTGTGAGGAGGATAATGGAGCAGGAGTCCAAGGTTTGCAGCCAGAGAAGTGAAGACAGCCCCCAGCGGGCAAGGGCCACTTCTTGAGGGAGGGAGGAGTCTGGACTTCCCCACCCTGACCCTGGCCAATCCTTGGGGCTGGTGGGCATTGAGGGGAGGGTTCTCACACCAGATTGCCCCACCCACACACTGCAGAGAGGGCTCAGAAGGCTTGTAACACCATCATGCCGGACGGGCTACAGACACCCCACGTGCTCTGGCTCTTTCCCCAACCCTCAGCACAAAGTCCCTACTGAGCAAAGCACGTAGCCCTGTGCCCGCTGGGCAGCGGAGGCCTGGGGGCCAGAGCAGTCAGTGGGTTGTGAGCAGACCCATCCTTGTCCTAGAGCTGTCGCTGGTCTCCAGGCTGGCGTTCACAGCGGTGTGGCTCCATGGACCAGATTGTACAGGTGTGGGAGGGGTTGTGTGTGGGCAGGTACTGGGCAGCTGGACTTCAGTGACCCCAGGAATCAGTGGGGACACATTCAAAGACCCTGCCCTTGACCATGAAGATGAAGGAGTCGGTTAAGTGGGGGCCCACGGAGGCGTAGCAAGCTACTCCATAGACGGAGTGGACTCTCAGGCCCAGCTGGTGACGCGAGACAGGACACCTGCCCCCTATTCTCCAGTTCTTTGAGACCCTGCAGAGACCGCCTCCTCCAGGAAGCCCCCTCCTCTTGGGTGGGTGCTTTGCCCTCATGACCCTCCTGCTAAGCTACCTCACAGGAGTGGATGCAAGACAGCAGCTGAGTGGTTGGGTCTCGGGCAGGTGGACCAGCGGGGACATGGGTTTCCACACCCAAATCAAAGCTGAAGCCAGGCTGTAGTTTGGACCAGTCTGCTCGCTTATGTATAATAGTATAATAATTATTATTAGAATAAGTTTTACCCATACTGTTACAATACAAAAATACGATCTCTGAGGAGCACGGGTTCCCAGCCCGCACAGTGGCAGGCCGGCCGGGGTAGCACCAGGAGGGCGCCGGGGCGGGGCTCCGCGGCCGCGAGAGGCGCTGAGGTCTGTGTGTGGGTGGGCAGCGGGCCGGCGAGGGTCAGTGGTGGGCCACCCGCTGGTGGCCGCGGCCAGGCGGAGGGCAGGAGCTGCAGCACTGGCTGCGGACGGTGGGTAGGTGGCAGCGGCCGAGGAGGCGTAGCGTCTCACAGAAAGTGAAGGACGGGCGATCGCGCTCACAGCCTGGGCTGGGCGGGGCGGGGCGTGGCGGAGAAAGGGTGTCAGGGGCAGGCGAGCGGGGGATGGGGGAGGACTTGGGCCAGCCCTCCCCCCTGCACCCTGGGTGTTACCTGTCCCTTCCCCCTCACTGGCCTCCTGCATCATTCTGGACCCCTGCATCTGAATCTGGGCTGGGCTCACCAGGGGTCTGCAGAGTGACCCTCCTGCTCATCTAGGGGCCTGCACCATGCCACCCCATCCCTCCCAGGCTCTGGCACATTTCAGCTCCCACCCTACCACCTACCCTGTGCCCAGTGCACTGGCCCAGCCCCACATCCAGCCACAAGGGCCCTTCCCAACTCCAGCTTCCAGTCCTGGGCCAGCCCCCTGTACCCCAACTTCTCAGCTAGGTACTGAAGCCAAGAGGGAGTGAGGCCCCGGCAGGAACCAAGGTTTGGCTCCCGGGGAGGGGCCAACAGTTGAGGGCTGTGCTGGGGAACTGGGCTTGGTGGGGCCTCCTGTCCTGCGGTGACCAGTGCTATTTTGGGAAGCGGCTTGCTTCCAGGCTCCTGATCTGGCTCCCACAGTGCTGACAGCCCCCAGCTGCCTGTAGTGCCGGCTCACAGCGGCCCAGACCTCTGGAGAGGGAGGGCAGAGGCAGCCCTGGGCCCAGGACACCCCCAGGGGCCGGCAGAGTACAAGAGGCAGCAGCAGGTCTCCACCCTGCCCATCTCCAGACCTGCATCCCAGCCCAGCTGTGACCTCGGGCCTCAGCTTCCTCTCCTGCCTCCTGGGGGCGAACAGATGTGACAGTGCCATCAGCCACCTCACCGGTGACCACACATCCGGAGTCCCCAGGCCTCCCATCTCACACAGCCATGCAAACGTCCTGACATCTCCGGGCCTCGAGACCATCCCCCCAGCTGCCCCTTCACCCTCTCCTGTGGGGTGGCTGGCAGTCCAGCCCCTGACCACCAAGTCCCCTCCCTCTAGCCCACCGACAGACATCCTGGGAGACCTTACAAATCGGGAATCTCGTGGTTCCAGCCTGTCCACCCAAGGGCCTCATGCCTCACCTCTCCTCAGAGCCCGGCAGGCAGGTGCGGGGGGCAGAGGGCGGGCAGGTGGCACACACCAGGCCCCGAGGAGAGGACACTGGAGGCAGGCGGGTCCCCTGCCTCTCAGCAAGGCAGTGCCACTCTGGGCCTGAGTGAGGGCTGCTAAGGGGCCAGCAGCCTGCAAGGATAACCACGATAGGGAGAAGGAGTAGGGGAAACTGGGCAGATCGTATGGGCCCCGAGCACCAGACCGCGGGCCCCCGACAATCTTCGTGGAGGGGCTAACGGTGAGGAGGCCACCGTGTTCCCCAGCTGTGCTCCTGGCACTCAGTCACAGAGGCAGCCCCTGGCTGGCCCGTGATCTCCACGTGTGGGGGGCAGTGAGGAGGGGCCAGCCAGCTTCTCCTGAGGCACCTCTCCTGGGGGCCCTTGTACTGGCACCCACCCCAGACCTCACTGCTCTCCCCACCAGCACCCCGGGCTAGTGTCAGCTCCTTTGTGCAGGAAGAAGCGGAGTCTCAGCTGCTCCACAGGTGTGAGCTCAGGGCAGCGGGACGCCTCCCTGCTGCACTGCTGGAGGGTGGCCTGAGTGTGAGAAAGGAAGAGAGAGAGGGAGTGTCTCCCCGTGCGAGGTACCTCTGGCTCAGGCCCTGCCTGCCAGGAGGAACCAGCTGGCCAGGAAGCCACTGAGAGCCTAAGAGTCAGCCCCCGTCCTGTGGCTCTGCTGCTCACTCTGGGAAGCCCTCTGGCCGGGGAGGGGGCCAGGCCAGAGGAAGCGAAAAGGCGCGGCCAGGCTTGGCTTTTGCCCTGAGAACACCCCTGGCCTCCCTGTGAGGGCTAACTGGGGCCCAGAAGAAAAGAGCTTTTGCCTGACATCACAGAGCAGCTTGGTGGCCGAGGCCGCTCCTTTGACTCTGCCCCGTACAGCCAAGGAGAGCCGCCTTCTCTTGCCGGCATGGCCGGGACCCCACTGGCCCAGTTCCTAGCAGAGTCCCAGCATCTGTGGCCCCTGAGCCCAGACCCCAGAGGGAGCTGGGCAGTGCTCAGGGGCAGTGACTTGATTACCCCTGCCCCCCACAAAGTGAAGCGCAGGATGGGGAAGCACTCACGTGGGGGCTCTGGGAGCTTACAGTCCTGGGTGCTGCACGGCTGGGTGCTCTCCGGCCAGGCCTCATGGCTACACTGGTCGCTGTCCTCCAGCAGTCTCGTCCGGGTGTTGACGCACTTGACCAGGCGCCGCTGGACGCCACCACCACAAGGGGCTGAACACTGTGGGAAGTGGGCAGGAGTCAGGGCCCCACCTCAGCCAGCCCCGAGGCGGTCACTGCTGACACCCCTTCCTGCTGGCCGCAGCAGAGGTGAGCTGGGGTACAGAGCTGCCAGCCCACACAGGGGTCTCCGTAACAGAGCCTGGATGCAGAGATGTGGACAGAGGCACTCCAGGGCCCCAGGACCAGGGGCGGAGGCTCCATGAGGCCACGGGAATGGCAGGAGAAAGCTTCTCTCACGGCTGCCCAGCCTGAGTCAAGCATTGCTCTCAGATTGGCTGTGGCTTTAAGTCCCAAAGCTAATTGTGCCAGGGTCGCCTGCCCAGGTGCCAGGCCCTATGCTAAGGACTTGGTTGGATTGCCTCATTTCCCCTCACAGGCTCCCCCACCCGCTAGCCTCACTTCACAGATGAGAAAACAGAGGCCTGGCAAGACAGTGTCATTTCTCTCCCACGAGAGAGAGAGAGATCAAGTGCTGGCCTGGTCACTCCGACAACCAGTGGGACAAGCCCCCAGGGCCCAGCTCAGGACACACAACGGAGGGACCCGGGCCCCCAATAGGGCTGCCAGGAAAGCATTCTGACCAGCCCATGGAGATCCGCCCCTGCGGTCATGCTGGCCTATCACCCACACCCTCTGGCACGGTTCCCTGAGCACCCCAAGTTCTTCATCCCGGCTCGCGACTCTGCATCTGCCAGTCCTTTATTCCTGCCCTTTCCAGCACTGATTCCCCAGGCAGGCCTCGCCTTAGAGCCCCTCCTCGGCCGGCCGGCCCTGCCCGCGGAGCCAGAGACAGCCGATGTTCAGTCCTACTCACGGCTCAGTGAACAAACCACCCCTCAAGCTGCCCTCTGAGCCCCTGCCCCAGGCCTCAGCTCACCTGGCCCCAAGGACCCACCACCCACTGGGTACAGGGGTGGGTGTTGCAGGGTCGAGTGGCGTTGGGTCTCAGCACCTCCTCACAGAGGCCCGCCTCTGGGCACGTCACCAGGCGCTGCTGTTCTCCCCCACCACAGGGCTCGGAGCACTGGGGGCAGGAGGGGGACAGGGTGTGGCGAGGGTCTGAGGATGCTCCACCCCCGCCCCGTCCGGCCCCGAGGCTCACCTCCCTCCAGGAGGAGGTGTACCAGCTGAGGCAGTCCTGAGTGCCGCAGAGTTGCCGGGCGGGCGGCTTGGCAGGCCCAAGCTGGCAGTGGAAGGGCCGAAGTGGCCGAAGGTCCCTTGTGTCCACACACTGCACATCCCGCACTGAGGAGCCACTGCCACAGCTTCGGGAACACTGGGGGCCGAGGGACAGACATGTGTCCACAGCCCTGTGTGTGCTGGGGAATGGATGTGGCAGGGCAGGCAGTGGGGCCCCCTGACCCCCGCCCCCTCAAAAGATCCCAAAACCCTTGTCGCTGTTGTGCTGGTTCTGACCCCGGTGACCCTGTAACAGAGCAGAGCTGCTCCTCGGGGAGTCCTGGGCCCCCCACTTTACAGAAGCCGCGTACCAGGCCAGAGTGGCTTCAAACTGCTACCCTTTCAGTCAGTACAAGAGCCAGGGGCACGGCCCAGAAGAGCCCAAGAAGTGACCAGGGCTGCCATGGGGGCGAGGGTAAGCAGATGTGACCTAAACCCTTAGGAGGGGGTGCAGGTGCAGAGAGCGAGGAGGTGCTACAGGAGCGTGGGGGCGGGTCAGACCAGAGAAACAGTGACTCCCAGACTTCAAAAGGGCCAGTGTAAGGCCGTGGAGGGTGAGCATATGCAGTGTGGAGCCCCCTCGGCCCCGGTGGCGCTGTTGCCCATCCCGGGAACCCTAGGCACACCCACTCCCACCGCCCAGCTGCCTGCCTCAGCCCCACCTTGCTCCAGTTGCCTGTGTGCCACCCGGCACAGGGCCGCAGGTGGCAGTGGCGGGCGGGCTGGGGCCGGCCAGCAGGGGCGCAGTCCTCTTCCCGGCCAGAGCTGCAGCGCACGGGCCTCCAGACGGCACCAAGGCCGCAGGTGGTGGAGCACTGGTGGTAGGCAGGGGGCACAGAGGCCTGTTAGGACCAGGCAGACCCTGGCTCTCTCCATCCCCCTGCAGCCAGGAGACCACCCCACCAAGGTAAGAAGGCCTGGGACAAGCCAGGGGCCTCCATTTCCTTATCTGCCAAATTGACTCCACCTGCCTCCGGGGAGACTGAGGGTGAAAGGTCAAATCGCCCCCACCCTCCAGCAACCAAGTGCCCCTACATGGTGGGATGAGGGTGGGGGGCTGACGAGGCTCAACATTGCTTCCCAGAATCCCTTGGGAAGGAACCCTGGGCTCTTGTCCCAGGGGCCAACTGCTGAGCCACCCTGGATAAAACCTGCCCTCTCTGGGCCTCAGTCTGAACAAAGCATCCACGCCCTGAACAGTGGCTATCTGGGAGCCTGGAGTGCGGTTACCACACTCAGCAGCTACTCGAAAGAGGGCCTATTCAAAGACACCTCTGAGAAGTCAGCCTCGGGACGCCCTGTACACCGGGGGCGCGCCCCCCACTGGTCAGGGTCATGTGAGGACAGCTAGGTAACTGGGGTGGGCTGCCGATCCCTGCTGGCTCCTGTGTGGAGCCCAGGGGGAGAGGGCCTGAGCGGCACCCCAAGAAGCCAGGCTGAGCCGGGGGTGGGGGTGGGCTGCTGGGGTCAGGCAGCATGCCAGACTTCACAGATCTACACATGGAGCTGTCAGGGTGAGCCCCCCAACCGGGTGGTGGGGAGCAAGCCGCTGGGTGGGCAGAAGAGTGCCTCTGGCCGCCCAGCAAAGGGCAGGCTGGCCAGCTAGCCCCGGGGGCACTCAGATGAGGGGCTGTGGGCTGTTCCCCCTGGTTGCCCTTCTCAGGTGCTTGGCCTCATAAGCCAGCCTCGGGACTCCATCAGGATGGAAAGCAGAGGGGCTGCCTGGCCCTCCCTCCTTCCCACCACTCAGGTGGCCAGTAACCCGGGCCACTCACTGCCGTGGAGCCGACCCTGACTCATGTCAGCCGTAGGGCAGGTAGAACTAACTGCTCCGTGGGTCTCCAGGACTAAATATTCGGGGGAGTAGAAAACCTCGTCTTTCTCCAGCAGAGCAGTGGATGGTTTTGAACTTTACAGTTAGCAGCCCGACACGTAACCCCCAGGCCACCAGCTCCACTGTTTTCAGGACGTGTCTGAGCCAGGGCAATGCTTCACCCACTGGAGTCTCCACTCCTACCCTTTCCCCCACGCTCCCACCCCATCGGGTACCCTCAGAGGCAGCGGACAAGAATGGAGAAACTGAGTCACACCCTGATGCCCCAACCACTTGCCTGACTCCAGTTCCCCACTTGCCAGCTGGCATTCTTGGAGGCTGGCAGGCCCACAGGGGGCCCCTGCTCATCGGGGTGGAGTTCCAGAGGCCAGGCTGCAGGGGTGCTGCTGCTGCTGCTGCTGGGTCCAGTCTGTGCTGGCATGGCCGGCAGCCTGGTGCTCAGGACTACCTCAGGACTGGGGGGCTCGGGCGGGCCCAAGGCTCTTGGGCTCAACGTGGTCACCCAGGAAGTCCGCTCTAGGCCAGGCCAGGCCATCGGAAGGAAGGTCCCAGGAACTGCCGGTGTCTGTAGCTCCAGTGCTGGGGCTGAAGGGGGGATGGGAACCCCTAGCTCCAGGGAGCTCCGTGACACAGCGTCTGAGGAAGGCAGGGGAAGGGGAGCCACGGTGGTGAGCCACTGTCCACCGGCTCCAGGCCACCCTCTGGAGCTGGGTCCCAGGCCATGGTCCCTTGTGTCCACCGCCCCACCACAGTGGGACTGGGAGAGGGGTGGGTGGTAGGAGAGGGCCCAGGGGCCGGTGTGGGATGGAGTCTTGGCAGAGCAGGTGGTGCTCTGGGGCTGAAGGCCTCCTCCTCATCCTCAGAAACCTCATTGGGATCCTCCCTGCCCAGGAACTTGCTTTGCTTCCCAGGGGCAGCCAGGTGCCAGGGCCAGCTAGGGAGCCCAAGATCCGGGGCCCAATGGGGGCATCCTTCTCAGACAAGAAACTGGCCAAAGAACTTCCGGGGGCCAGCTCTAAGGGCGGGGACAGGGAGGAGCCTGCCTGGCTGGGTCATGGGGCAGGGGACCAGCTGCCCCGTCCTCCCTCCTCCCCGGCCCCAGGAGGCTCCTTGGAAGAAATGGGGGTGCTCCCAGCTGCCAGCGAGCTCAGCAAGACTGCTCAGGGGTGGGCACTCACCTGTGTCCACCAGGTCTGGGTCCAGCTCTTCAGGGAGCCTGTCTGACAGGTCCTCATGGAAGTTAATGAAGTTGTAATCGTAGTAGAAGTCATCAACAAACACAGGCCCTGCAGAGACCGGCTCCAGGGGCTCCTCCTCAATGGCATGGGACAGGGGGCCCGGCTCAGGGGGCAGTGGGGACACAGGGTGTAGGGTCATATGCATGGGGTCGAAGTCCACCTCACTGAAGACCTGGCTGGAGGCACCACTGCCCGATCCTTCCAGGTTCAGCTTGTCCACGGGCAGAGGGCAGGACGGCAGAGAGCAGACCTCCTCACGTGGTGGCCGCTGGGCCTCTTCACAGGGTACCCCAGTGTCACCGATACAGAGGACGATTCGGTGGCGAGTGCCCACCCCACAGGTCACCGGGCACTGCAGGGGAGGCCAGGGTACAGGGCTGAGGCATGGTGAGTAGCCTGCCCACGGCCAGAGGGCAGAGGCCTCAGGCAGCCTCTGTTGACCATGAAGGCCCCTGGGTCCCCAGGTCTCCCTCCCTCGCACCATGCGGGCGGTAAGGCTGCCCTGGAGGCCCAGAGAGAGTGGAGCAGGAGCACTCACCTGAGACCAGTTCCCCACAGCCCAGGTGGCAGGGCAGACAACATTCTGGTTGCAGGCGGTCTCGGTGGGGGGCCTCGAGAGGTGTGCGCAGGCCTGTGGCTCCAGGGCTACCTGCTCGTCCAGCGCCACACTACGGATGCACAGCACCGTCCGCAGGGAGAGGCCCCTGGGCCCGCAGGAGCGGGAACACGGCTGCCACTCACCTACCCACCACCTGGGGGCACATGCAGGCACGTCAGCACGGGCTCAAGCAGTCTCACAAGCTGGGGTTTGGGTGATCAGGCCTGAGCCTGGATGGTTGACTCCCCAGGGCCCCAGGCCCAGGGCAGTGACCTGCTCCTGGAAACCTGGCAGCGTGCCGCAGTCCCCCTTGCCAAGGAGGCCTGGGTTCAAATCTTGCCACCGTCACCCCAGGCCTTCAGCCTTGGCATAGAGACCCAGAGTCCACCTGTCTCTCCTCTTCTGATGTGGAGGGGCAGCAGGAGGGGGTGGGAAGAGTGGGCAAGGGTAGGGACCGGGTGCAGCTCACCGAGCCGGACACAGGTTCTCATTACACCTCCTCTGGCGGTCATCGGGGCGGTCCCGGGGGTCACAGTGTCCCTCGTCCACAAGGCCTGTGAGCCGCTCAGTGCAGTGCACGCTCTGCCTCTGCATGCCTGGGGGCGGGGGGTGGGGCGGGGGGAGGGTTGCCCAGAGCGTTCCATCTGAGTCTGGCACCCAGGAGGCCCCTGCCTAAGCCAGCCCATCCTGCCACTCGGCCATACCCCATGTCCTTCCCAGAACCCAAAGCTACACCCAACCCCTGCCTTCAAGTTGACCCTGGCTCACAGTGACCCTACAGGGCAGTGGGGGGTGGTGGGGGTGGCCATAAATCTTTATGTGTGTGTGTGAGAGAGAGAGAGAAAGAGAGAGTCAGATTGCCATTCTCTCCTTGTGGGGTGGCTGGTGCCCAAGGCACCCCAGGACCCTTCTTCCCAAAACAGGGAGGCTTCCATGTCTCTGCTCAGATTCCTGACACTGAGATCTCTGGACTCTGAGGGTCACAGACAGGGAGACTGGGGGCAGCAGGAGGGGAGTGGGAAGGCTAATCAAAAGAGCAGTAAACCCCACTCCTAGGGGAGCAGTGCAACTCACTGTGACCTGACAGCCCAGAGTGGAACTGCCCCCAAGGCTTCCAAATGGGGCAGGGAGGAGGGGAAGGCGGGGGCTGTGGCACACCCGGCAGCCACTCTGGCTGGGGACCCAGAAACCCATCTCCGAGTCCCCTGGCCCAGGCCAGGCCCCACTCTCTGCTTGACCTGCCAGCTCATCCTGCCTCCCAGTGGCCCTGGCAGACAGGGGCTCTTGCAATCCCACTGACAGAGGGGAAACAGGCTCAGAGAAAACAGTCCCGGAGCTTGTGGTGACCCGGCAAACAAGCAGGGTAGAGACGGGGTGCAGCGCCCACCCCCTCCTCACCTGTTCCGCAGGTGACTGTGCACTTGCCCCAGGGCCCATAGCGCCAGGAAAATTCAGGGATCGGGGTGTGGCCAGGGCCGTAGGCCTCCCTGTGGATGGTGTACTGGTAGTGCACGCCGGGGTTACTCTCCTGGAACAGGAGCTGGGAAACGGGGGTGGGGGGACCCATGAGTTCCAGGTGTGTGCCCCCTCTGCCTGGGACCCTCTGCCCAGAATAACCACATGAAAGGAGAGGACACCAGCAACCACCCCTGAATGGGGGCTACACCTTAGAGATAATTTATTGGTGGGGAAACCGAGGCAGGGGCCTCAGCAGTAGCTGTGGGGCTTACACCTTGCCTTGGGGGGCTGGGGACCCAGAAACCCATCTCCGAGTCCCCTGGCCCAGGCCCCAGGAGGCAGGCACCTGGATCCACACGGGCTCGGCGGTGGGGCCTGGGGACGTGAGATTCTCCAAGTTGCCCATGCGCGCGTACGTGAAGGTGGTGCCGGCCACCTTGTAGTCCCCGTCCGACTGGATAAGCCAGCCCCCATTGAGGAAGTACTTCTCCGGGTCCTCCTCGCTCCGCAGGGCCAGGAAGTTGGCTGACTCAGCCAGCTCCTCGATGCGGATCTCACGTGCCCCTGCTGGAATCAGCCCCACATCCACATACCCTGTGGGGAGGGCATTGTGCAGAGGCCTCAGGGGTGGGGGCTGGCCCCCAGTGTCTCCCTACACCCACCCAGGCCCCTGGCAGTCCATGGCCAAGACTCCACGAATAGCTTCAGACCCCAAAGCAGGTCTGTGCTAAGTCACCCACACCCGAGTCAAACTCCCTGCCGTCCACCCATTTCCCACTCAGGTTGAGCCCACAGGGCAGCGTAGAACTGTCCCAGTGGGACTCCCACGACGGCAGCGGTTCTCAGCCTGTGGGTTGCGACCCCTTTGGGGGTGGACTGACCCTTTCACAGGGGCCGGCTGATTCATGATAGTAGCAAATTACAGTTATGAAGTAGCAACAAAAATAATTACATGGTTAGGGGTCACCACAACATGAGGAACTGTAAGCAAGGGTCCTGGTATTAGGAAGGTTGAGCACCATTGCTTTACAGGAGTGGCTGGTGGCTTTGAACTGCTGACCTTGAGGTTAACAACCCAGCAAGTAGCCCACTACGCTACCAGGGCTCAGAAAAGCTCCTCAAATCCTGCCCCAGAGACCTATGTTCCAGTGTGGCCTTCCTCCAACACCAAGCACCTGGGGATGGTCTCCCCACTCCCATGGCCCACTTTTCCGTCTTTTCTCCTATGGAGTGCTCTGGACACTTTCTGTAGGTTAATTCCAGTGTCACCCAGGTCCTTATGTCACCTGGGGTGAAAGATGGGCAAGCTGAGGCTCAGCGAGGGTAAGCAAGTGCCCCGCGGCCTGTCGACACAGGCCCCAGACTGTTCTAACTGCAAGTCTGAGATGAAACCTATGCTTCTTGGCCTGGCACGCCACCCTCCCTCTCAGCCCCCACCCCAGGAGCCCACTCTACCTGCCTCCAAGTTTAGTCTCTTAGGTAGACTCCTCCCTTTACAATTCTGCCTCCGCCAGGAAGCCGCTCCTGATCGCCCAGCCTCCTTGGACCTCTCTCCACTGCAATTGCCATGAAGGTTCCCTGTTCTGTTACCCTGTCAGACTGAGCTCATCACCTCTTTCCCCAACACCTACCATGTGCACCACACAGACCCCCAAGACGAGGCAAGAGGAGCTGGGTGGAGGGGGTGTCTCTGAAGCACTCTAAGGAGCAGTACCCCCACTGAAAGGGTCGGGGACCACCCACAAGCCAGACTGGCCCAATCTAGGTCCCTGGGGCAGAAGGGCTCCGATGAGGGCAGGCCTTGGCACCTGGGTGGTGGGACCCTCCCGTGCAGGAGGCCCATACCAGGCGATAAGGCTGCCCTTCCGCCCATCTCTAGCCTGGGTGAAAGGGTTTGGGGGAGAAACAATGGACAGGGTCCAGAGCCCGCGCGCGCGTGCACAGCAGCCGATCGCCCATACCCAGACCCTCCGCCTTCTGGAAGGTCTTGCTCACGGTGTGGCAGGTGGAGCCGTTGCCCTGGCACATGCCGCAGCGGTCCTCCGTGGCGCCAGAGTCGATCTGGAAGTCGCAGCCCACGTTCTGCAACACACGGGGAGGGGAGGACCTCGGCTGGGGCCCCCGGCTCACTCCTGGCCCAGTCCCCGCTGTCGTGCTGTCTGACTCCAGGCAGCAGTTCACCCTGTGCCTCCCAGGTGTGCAGGGAGGATCACAGGCCCCGGAGATGGGGAACAGCTCATAAAAAGCTGCGGTGGGCAGGGGAACCGGCACACCGTGGCCTCTCTCACCCAGAGGGTTCCTGGGCGCTCCAGAAGCCAAATTCCGTGCCAAAGGCTACCTGATGGAAACCAGGAGCTACCCCAGTTGCCATGAGTTGATCTTAACTGCAAGCCCTTGGTAGGGACAGAGTTCAAGTGGCTCACAGGGTTTCCACGGCCATGATCCTCAGGGAAGCTGCCAGCCTCAGCCTTCTCCGGGGAGAAAAAGGGCGAGCACTGTGTCTTGAGGGCTCCGTGCGCGACATGGAAGCAGGGACCAAAACGCAGGGCGTTTCCTCTGCACCGGGCTCCCTGCCTTGGCCTCTGGCGTGAGGTGTGTGCAGGGACACCCCCCCCTTTCGTATAAAAGAGGGTGCCGCTGTCTGGGGCCGCAGAGCGGTAAGGGGTCTCAAGGGCCTGAAGTGAGAAGCCATCCAGGGGCTTCACCGGCAGGGGCTAGGGCCCCGACAGGACAGTATGGCCTGGGGGTCCAGGAAGGGACCAAGAGCAGGGCCTAGTGGTGTCGGGGGAGTGGCGACAGGGCTAGGAGACCCTCGTCCAGTCAGGCACACCTTGCAGATGCCGTTGATGCACAGGTCCCGGCTCTCCTGGTCCTGGTAGCAGGGGGTGCCATCAATCACAGCGTCACGCATCTTTTCCATGAACTGCTCGCTCGAGGGCCGGCAGTGCAGCTCGCAGGGACTCACTGGGAGGCCCAAGGGAAGGAGCCATCAGGGACAGCCAGGACGGGCATCAGGGAGCCCCCAGGGCGACCCCACCACAGCACACATCAACAGCGGGCTCCAGCTGGGCTGGTACCACCCTGTGAGGCTGCAGGCAGGGGAGCTAGGAGGGCAGGGCAGCCCCAGGGCCCAGTGGAGGTCCACCCAGGCTGCGTCACTGGGTGACCCTGCACCCACAAAAAACCCCACCAACTCGAGCCACCAGGCCTCCCCATCGGTGACAGGGCTCACCATTAGAGAACACGGGCACCCAGGTGTGCAGCTGGCCCTTGTAGAGGATAGAGTCAAATTGGCTGCACTGCACCTGGCGGAAGGAGGGGTGGCCGGGCGGACAGGCCTGCAGGTTGCACAGCCGGGTGCGCTTCCACACGCCCACGCAGTATCTGCCCTTGTACTTGGGTCTGTGGGAGAGCGGGCGGGTCAGCGTGAGCGCATGTCCACTGTCCACCTCAGAGTGAGAAGCCTCCGCCTGCACCCCTCACAGATTCTCGACTTCCCCCACCCCCCTTGGCTCCCATCCTTCTCCCTTCTTGGGCTGCCCACCTCCCTTCTCATGAGGGCCTACAGGAGGTAGCGGCTGGAAGCCTGGGCTCCGCTCTCAACCTGCTGTGTGACTTTGTGCAAGCCTTCAGTCCTCTCTGGTCATCCGTTTCCACATCTATAAAATGGGTTGAGGCTGCCTGTGCAGAGGGCAACTGGGAAACTAGAACAAGCTGCGGATGTGGCCAGCATCGGCCTACCTCTGGGTCAGTGGAGTAGTCCCCACCTCAGCTCAGACCCACAGGCGGGGAGCCAGCAGGGGGAGAGGTCCAAAGGCCCTAGAAGCGGCAGGATGTGAATCCTGTGCCCACTAGGGGCAGCTCGGCCCAGGTGAGCTCTTCCAAAGGTGCAGACAGCCCCAGTCTGTGGACTGCCAGCCTCTGCATTTCAAACAGAGACACTAAGGCCCGGAGAGGCACAGTCACCAGCCCCGGGTCACACAGCCCGCTCTCTGGGCTACCCAGTCCCATCCCAGGCCCAAGTTGTACCTCTGATGCTGCTGAGCAGCAACGATTTTCCTTAAAACTCCTTTGTATTTAAATGACAATTTTTACTAGATACAACCATCTAACTTGATTTTTTTTTAAGTGGTACCTTTAAAAAAAAAAATCATATTAGCCCTAAAAAAAATTCTTTCACATGTTGTCAGGAGCTATCACGATGTAACTTTGTAGCTTTCTAACATCTTGATTGTAAAAAAATACGTAACGTGTGCCCATCCAACGCTGTTTAACTGATGATGTTCATCAGGCTGCGCAGTCATTGTGCACGCCCACTGACTGATTTTTCCATTGTGAGATACAGAAATCTGCTGCTTCTTGACACACACACACCCCCCTCAGCTCCCCCACCCCCCGTAAACACTAGCCAGATTGGTCCTCTATACATTCAAGCAGTGACTATTGGCTGAGTGCTCCCCTCACACTGACCCCTGGGGTAGGTGGTATGCCTGAAGTTACACATTTCTCACCGACCACAACCCTGTGGGTGGGCGCTGCCTGGCTGTCATGCAGAGGGGCTCAGAGAAGGCTTTTGCCACATGGTGGAACGGGGATCTGAACTCTCATAGCCCAGGGGCTAAGCTCGTAACCACTGGCCCTCTGGGTGCCCGAGGTCCGGCTTTGTGGTACGGCCTGGGCTCATCCCTCTAATCTCTGGGTCCTGGAGTCAGACGTCAGGAGATTCCCTGGGGGCTGGGACAGAGTGGGCCCACCCTGCCCCTGGGAGGTGGCCCATCCCACACTTACACAGGCTGCGAGCACTGCCTCTCGGCGCTCTGCACACCCACACCACAGCTCCGGGAGCAGAGGGACCAGGCACTCCAGCCTGACCAGCCGCCATCCACGGCCTCGGGCTGGAAGTCCGCGGGAACACACTCTCCATTGAGACACCACTGTGGAGACAAGGGGCGCGGCCCGGGCCCAAAGCTATCAGCTATCCTTGCCCTCATTAGAATCAAGTAGGCAAGGAGGCCGCCAGAAAAGGAAGGATCAAAGGGGTGAGGGGTCCAGCCACCAGCACCCAAAGCCATAGGCCTCACGGTGGAGTTGAGCAGGGGAGGAAGAGGCCCGCATGGGGGCTCTCTTGGTTCATCTGCGGCTGAGCACATCCCCTACCTTGTTGTCCCCGCACTTGGTGCCGTCCACGGCTGCGTCCAGCTTGGAGTGGCAGGTCTGCCCCACGGTGCACCAGAGAGTGTGGCAGACACTCTGTGAGGAAGAGGAGGAGGAGGAGGGGCCTCACTGTTTGCAGAAACCCAGGCACCCCTGCTCTTCTGTGTCCCCTCCCACAGCGACCCCTTTGCTTTCTGATTGGGTGGTGATGGGGGAGCCTGAGGCTGGGTTTGCTGCCTGGAGCCATGGCCACGCTGATCTACAAGGGCTCCAGTCCAAGCCCATTCGAACGGAGAGACATCCACCCAGTGGTGGGGCCTCTGCCCATCCGTGCCCACCAGTGCAGGCATCTGTCCCCAGGACCCCCAGGGAGGTTTTAGCTCCACTCTGGGAAGGTGGAGGGGCTTGCCCAAAGCCCCAGTATTCACTGTGTCTCCCAGCATCACGTGGAGGCTTGGGGCAGGGCTGGGCGGGGTCCCTTCAAGGCCAGCCCCTGAGTCTTTCTGCCCGCTGGGCTACGAGTACACCCCCGCACCCCCCAGCACATGCCCCGACTCACATCCATGTCGGAACAGAAGGAGGAGGTATCCCCATACTGCAGGCGGCACTGGTGGCTCACGTCATAGAGGACACCGGGCAGCACCATGGGGAAGTCCAGGATGTTCTGGGAGGGCGGGTCATCCAGGCACAGGCCCCATCCTCGGCTGCAGAGACAGGGCAGGAGGACTGGTTGAGGGGCCCACCCAGGAGAGCACATGAGCTGGGCATGGGTATAAAGCCCTAAACACACAGGAATACTCCAGCCTCGGCCTCCAGCCCCACCTCCTGGCTTCTCCCCACCTATCTCCTTCCTGACTGCAGCCCAAAGACCTCTTCATAGAAGCCCCTGGATCACCAAGCCCTGCAGTGGCCCCCGAACTGAACCCCTGTACCCCACCCCTGCACCCCAGCCCAAGTCCTGGAGCCAGGCCATCCCATCCCATGGCTCAAACGGGCTGGGTGGCCCACCAGGGCGGAAGCCACGGGTCATTGTGTCCTGCTGCTCCCCGCCCTGTCACCCCTTGCTGACTCCCGATCCTGGCTGGCCCCAGGGAACCAGACAGATGCCAATCAAGCCCAGTCTTCACCCAGCATGAACCTCTGCTAATACTCAGCCCGAGCAGAAGGCTGCCCAGACGCTGCCCCGGGCAGCAAGTAATCAGGCATCCCTGTCTGTGCAGCCACTGGCTCCTCTGTGAGCCACGTGTGCAGGGCCATTTGGTTTGCGGCAGTTTCAGTGGGGAAGGGGGTGGCCAAGGGCTGCTGGGCCCACTGGCACCCAGTCTTTGACAGAGACACCAGTGGAGACAGGGAGAAAGGGATGTGGCTAGATGGGGGGTTAGGGAGTGGGGGTGGGGGGGTGGGCACGGGGTATCCCGATTTAAGAGCTGGAGGTCTGGGAGCTGGGATGGGTGCTCTCCAGGTCCCCAGCCAGGGATAGGCCTTCCAGTAGAGAAGCAGGCAGGGGCTGGAGCACTTTAGTGGGAGGACCAGGCAAGGAGTGAAGTTCTGGTGGCAGCCTGGAGTCAGGGGATCACAAGGCTATGCCAGCCTGGCCAGAGGCAAAGTGTTGGACATTCAAAGGGCTGGGGGTGGCAGGTGGGGCACAACCAGAGTGTGAAATGGGGTCCTGAGAACCTGAGGGTGCTGAGATGGTGGGGTGGGCTTCAGGAGAAGCAAAGCACCCCACTAAGGAACAGAGATCCTGTGGCATTTACATAATGTTCTGTCCACTTGTGAAGGGGTGGAGTCTAACCTGTTAATCAGGTCGTAGCCTGATGACCTCATTTGTAGATGCGACGGAGACAAATAGCTCACTGGAAGCCAGATACACACTCACTCCCTGCAAGACATTCCTGCTAACATGGAACTATGCTAGCGGTCTGGAGCTGAAGGAGCCACATGGAGACCCTTGCCAGCACTGAGATGCTTCCACCACCACTGGATCCACAAGACTCCCCACCCACTGGCCTGTGATCGTCCCTCATTCGGCATCATTGCAGGTGTTGTGTGAGTCTGAAGAGGACTTCATAGATTGGTTTCAGACATGTGGGCTAATATCGGACTGATGGACTTGATCTGGACTGGGCTGGGATGTTTTCTTAATGTACAGCTGCTCTTTGATATAAAGCTCTTTCTTAGGCACATATGAGTGTCTATAAATTTTAGTTCTCTAGTCTACCCAGACTAACACAGATCCCCAAGATGAGGTCGGAGGAGTCAAGGGTTGGAAGCAGGCAGGAGAGGTCGGGGAGCAGAGTAGAGGTGGCTGAGCTCCTGCTGGAATTCCCCAAACCTTTTGTGCTGAGGAAAGGGACTCCTCTAATTCACACGGGCAGGTGGTGTGAAGGAGCAGCTGCTGTCCCTGCCTGGAGGGAGGGCTGCAGATGGCTGCTGGGCAGGCTGGGCACCTAGCTGGTCCTTCTGTGTGCTCACAAGACTCAGGGAAAAGCCTCTACAAGGACCCTGTCCTTAGGCAAGGGGCCCTGGGGCAGCGGTCTTGCCTCTGGCCTGAGTCACACAGGAGGGAGGCCGTGGTGCTTCAGGACTTGGGCAGCCCAGGCTGTGTCCACTCACTGGCCCACCCTCAGTGAAAGGCCCCACCACCCCACCCACCCAGTGACAGCCCTGGCCTGAAGAAGTTGATCCTAACATCTGTTCAAAAACATGGCTGTGAGGTCTCACAGGGAGAAAGTGGGTCACCAGTGCCCCCTCGGCTTGGGGCCCCAGGGCCTGGATCCTGGGGCAGCGCTGGCTTTCAAGGGCTTCCTCCCTCAGTGCAGCCCTCCATGACTCTCAGGCAGTGGAACGGGTGCCCGCACAACACCTCAAGCCCACACCTAGCCTGGAGACCAGTCTGAGGGACCTCTTCTGACCCAGGGTCTGGAGGAGGGTGGGGGCAAGGACAGGTGAGACCCCACCCTGCCTCTAGTCCACACCAATGGCTCCGAGGCAAATCTCAGCACTCCCGCTTCCTGGCTAAGCCCCAAGGCCCCAGGTTCTGTGGGCCTGCAGCTGGGGGACAAGGGGAACCAGCGTCCATGGAGCCCATCCTGTGGGTGAGTGGCAAGTTGTGGGGGAGGCGGCAGCCCTCGCTGCCCCAGCTGTGCGTGCTGTGTGAATGTATCCACGGCTGCAAAGGTATAAATAGCAGTCTCTGCTGGAGAGGCAGAGGCAGCTGGCCCTTCCTTCCTTGGGCCGGCTCCCTGCCAGGCCCGACTCGCTGCTGACTGCACCCGGATCCCCAAACCCATCAGCCCTTCCCCTCCGAGCCCCTCCTTGCTCTAATTATAGCTGGGCTGGGCGGCCCCTTGTGGGTCAGAGGCGGCAGTGGGTGATCGAGGGGGCAGCCTCACCGTCACCCATGGGCGAGCAAGCAGGTCGCCAAGAGCTGCCACCACGTGGGGGGGGCACGTGTGAAGACCTCCCCACCACACACACACACACACCGAGTTCCGGTCACCAAGTCTCTGATGGTGGGGGCTCCCCGCCCCTCCCACACAATCTGCCTGCCTCTCTCCCTACAAGAAACCCTTAGGCAGAGCACTCCCTGAGCCCCACCCCAACATGTCCCCCACCTGCCCGCGCCATAGAGCTAATGGCTACACATAGTGGGCCTGCAGAATAGGGCCAAGCTGCTCCTTTGGACTTCAGAGATGGGAGATCTTTAGCAGCGGCTTCCAGAAAGCCTCATCATTCTCCCCTAAAACAGGTCTCGGCACACCAGGGCTCACGAACATCCCTCAGGCCAAGCCTCTTGGATGGGAATGCCCACGGCTCTGGCCACGACCCTGTGGAGGCATCTGCTGGCTTTCACCACCTGGGACTGTCCACTGAGAACAACCTCCCGCAGGATGCTCCCTAGTGGCCCTCAGGTGGCAGCTCTCGGTGCCTTTGCAGAGGTCCTTGGGAGTGCCCCCTGAGCCCGGGCTGAGGCCAACCTCCCTGGTGTCCCCCAGTGAGGGCTGAGGGGCATGAGGGGCGGCTCCGTCGGTCTTGGTCACCACCGTCCCTTCCGTGTGCTGGGGCCTGAGGAGTGTGTGCCCACACAGCAGGCGCCCAAGCTTGACACGGGAGCGGGGACTCCGTGGTGTCTGGCTGTGCGTGGCCTGAGAAAGATGTGATGGAAAGGCTCCAGGGAGGCCACACGAGGAGGTCTGTGAGGGGCGGACCCCACGTAAGGCGCTTTTGTCCCCTACAACTCTCATCATTCTGCCCACCAACCCTGCCCAGGAGGGGCCTGTCTTCCCGCTCCAACTCCAGCTGCAGCATGAGCACTGGGGGCTACCGGCCGGGCGGGCACCACTCTCAGTCTCCGCTGGCTTCCGCTACACCTGATCGCCCCTCGGCCTGAGCCCGGGACAGAGCACTCTGAGGGATGCATGTGCCGGGCTGACCAGGGAGAGGTGACATCCTCATCCTCCTCCCTCCCAAGCAGCCCCCACTCACACGCTGGGTGGGTGGGGCGCGTCCACAGCTCTGTCTTGGGTGAGTCCGCCATCCTTCTCGATGCCAAGGCTCTGGCTCTCGGCCTTGCCTCCCACTCTCACCCAGGCTCTAAGCCAAGCCCATCAGGCATTCCAGCAGCCGGGTGAGGACAGAGCCTCATCTGTCCGTCTGTCCGGGAGCCGGGGTGGTGGGTGGCACCCTGGCTGGTGGCCGCTGGGGAGCTGGCACAGGGAAGTAGCCCCGAGGGTGCTGTGGGAGAAGCCACTGCTCTGCCTCTCCAGCCGCTCTCTGGGGGAGGAGGCACACCCTAGAGACTCTTTTCAACCCTCCTCTCCACCCCCATGGCCACCTCCCTGGGTCAGGTCCATGTCAGGCAAGCCTGGTCACTTAGTCCCCAACCCAAAGCCAATAGTCAATGCCACAAGTCGATTCCGACTCCCGGGACCCTGGACCCAGGGTTTCTGAGGATTTGTCCATCTTGACGGGAGCGCAGAGGCCTCCTCTTTCCTCCCCAGAGCAGCGGGTGGCTCTGCACCGCCGACCTCGTGGTTGGCAGCGCAACCTTGGTCCGACAGCGCCCCCGGGCTCCCGATCGCTCGGCACTAGGGCCAAAGCGCAAGCTCGCTGCTGCTGAGTGGATTCTGGCTCCTAGAGACCCTGTAGGACAGGGCAAAGCTGCGGATGGTTGGGGCGGGGGCCTGAGGCGGACGTCTTTACGGAGCAGCAAACCTCATCTTTCTCCCACCGACGGCTGGTAGGTTCCAACTGCCAGCCTGGGGGCCGCTGCCCAGTGCCTACCCCGCGACTCACCCGGTCTCCTATCGAGGCAGTAGGGGCAATAGACAGAATCGTTATGAAGTGCGTGGCACGCTGCCCCGGTAGTAGGCGCTGTGCCACATACATCACATGTTTTCTCCTGCAGCCCCCAGAGCAAGCCCACAAGGCAGGGCCATTGCTACCACTGCTTCCCGAGATGTAAGGTGGGTTGACTCGTCGGGCCAACACAGGTAGAAGCCTGGGTCAGAGGCCAGGTTCTTCACCACCAAACCCCAGGCTTCCTCCTTCCAACCCACTCCGCACCCAGAAATCCCTCTTTTAGAAACCAGAATCCTTGCTCTTATAGCCGTGTCCCTGCTGAAACCCCACGATGAGTGCACTTCTAGAAAGCCAGGACACGCAGCACACAGATTCATCTCCACTCCCTCCCAAGCCCCACCATGATGACAGTCATGAGGGCAAAGGGCAAGGGGGAGGTGACGATGGCAGCTAAAAGGGGCTAGAAAGCACATGGGACAGCAGAGAAGGCTGAGACCCAGTCCCTGTGGGGGAAACCAGCCCAAAGCAGAGCCCGGGCCAGGCTCAGGAATCAGGGTGCCTAAGGGCCTTGTGGGTAACCGGTTGAGTTGAGGACAAAAGTGTTACCGAAAGTCTGTTGATCAGACCCTGAATCTCCCTCCCCAGCTCTCCGTGGCCGGTCGACACACAGTGCCCTACATGGAGAGGGGAGGGAGAAGGGTCCCACCTGAGACAGCGGGCACAGTGGAGGCGCTGAGGCGGAGGGATCTGCAAAGGGGGAGGGACAAATGACAGTCTGTCTGCACAAGGAACACAGCGTGGCAAAGTCCCTGCCCTGGTGGAAGGATAGAATGCTATCTCCAGGCTTACATCCTTCTAGGAAAAGACTAGACAATTCCTCAGCAGGAAACAAAATCATCAGGGAAAAAAGGGAGGGTGGGAAGACCTTAGTTCCTGGTATTTAAAGTTCTCCCAAAGAAACAGCCCCTCCTGACCCAGCTCCTCAGCAGTGATTCGGCGAAGACCTGAGCAGGTCCATGTACTTGCCAAGTGTCCCCTCAACGCCTCCTTCCATGTATGAAATGCACGCTCTTTAAAAAACCTTTACCATGAACGAGATTTTTAAAAACCTCCACGGAAGAGAAAGATATGATAGAGAAAGAAAATAAAACCAAGAGATGAGCCACTGCACCCACGAAGCAAACAGAAAATGAAGAAGCACTTCCGGCCAGACCCACAGCCACCAACTTGATTCCAGCCCAGAGCAGCCCTACAAGGATCCCCACGGATCGGTTGGCAGATTCAAACGACTGGCCTTGCAGTTCACAGGGCCCGCTGACCCCACAATGCCACCGGGCTCAGTAAAGAGTCCTTAGAGACTGAGGAAGTTGAAGAATCTAGAAGTGTGGTCGGGGAAAGTTTTGATTTAATAGAACGGTATAAGCTAAAGATAAGGATGTCTCCAAGAAAACAGAGCCAAGGGAAGGTTTCAAAAGATAAGGAAATGAAAGGACAGCTGAATTCCAAGGATCCCAGAGAGGGGAAACTGGAGGGAAAATGACCAACTCAACAGTGCCAAGACTTTTGTGACACTTGGAGATCATGGATTTCTAAATGTTAAAAGTCCCCCAGTGCCCAAGAGAATGTATAAAAGTAGACCGAGGTACACAATGGTAAAATTTCAAAGAGAGAGACTTCTAAAAGCTCTCAGATTTTTGTAAAGGCCGCACACAAAGGCTTAGGGGTCAAAATGATAAGATATACTCAACAGCCACGTCGGAGGCTTAAAAGACCAATTCTCATGCAGTGACTTCTCCAAGAAGCAGGAAATCAAAGGGGTGCTTTCAGACACATAAACCATTTTCTTCCACACAGCTTCACCCTCACCTGCCTTAAAAAAATAAAATAAAAACAGTCACACTGGATCCGGAAACAGGAAGGGCCTGCATACCAAGTTGGTGCAGGCCTAGAGAGCACCCCTGCAGAGGAACGGCAGTACAGAGCGGAGCTGGGGTGAAGGAGTGTCCAGGGGCCAAAATAGGAACCTAATGTTGGGTTACCTGCTAGGAATTAAGTTCTGGAAAAGTAGATCATGAGACACTGTGGAGAACGGTTTAAGGTGATGGGCAACTTGGCCAGAGAGGCAAAGAAAACATTATCCTTATGAAGAAGGTTCATCTGTTACAACGCTTGGTTCCACCCACTGTAAAGCAGCCTACCGGATCGTGATCATGTAAACACCAACCATGGGCCTAACTGCAGTATGTTGACACTAGACTGTGGCGTGAGGACCTGGTGGTGCAGGGGTTACACGCTGGCTGCTAACCACAAGTCAGCAGTCCGAACCCACCAGCCGCGCCCCTCCAAAAGAAAGACGAACCTGTCTGCTCGCATACAGACGTCCAGCCCTGGAAGCCCACGGAGTGGGGTCCTCACGTCCACTTCAACTCGCAGCGAGCCCACGTGCCACAGAGAACTGCCCCAGAGGGTGGGCGAAGCCGTCCTCTTTGGCAGCCTGGGTCTTGACTTGGGTTGCCAACGGCACCATCGGCGGTTCAAAACTACCGGCTCCTTCTCCCGTCAAGAGCTACAGTCTCTGAAAGGCGCAGGGCTGGTCTACCCTGCCCTACAGGGTCACTCCATGTCGGGTCTGACTTGATGGCACTCAGTTTTTGGAGGGCCTATCTGAAGCCGTTTGCCAGGTCCTCCTCCTCCCACAGTGCCTCTGCAGGAGGAGGAGCTGCCAGCCTCGGGTGCAGCCGAGCACTTCATCGCTGGGCTACCAGGTCCCTTTGATTTCTGTTCTCCAGCCTCCCTGCCATTGAGCGCATGCGGACTCACGAAGACCCTATAGGGCAGGGTGGAACTGCCCCCGTTGGGGGGGGGTTCCCAGGAGAGTCACCATTTACTCTAGCGGAAAGCCCCGTCTTTTGCCTTCGGAGCAGCAGGGGGTTTTGAACGGCTAACTCTCTGGTCAGTAGCCCAGCGTGTAGCACTACACCACCAGGGCTGCCTTGGCTTTTCCCTGGCCCCAGCGGCCCTGCACCTCTTCCAGCCGGCGGTCCATGCCTCTCCCCACTTGCCGCCCACCCCCTTCCCGCCCCTGATGCTGCTCCCTTCATGGCTGCAGGCTCCTCTCCCAGGGCACCATGGCCGCCCTGTGCTCATGGGGGGCTCCAGCCCCTACCTGTACGGGCCGCCCTGCTGCCGCCTGGCACTGCAAAATGTCGTTGTCCCTGACGCTAGGGACAGGGCTTGGGTCCCGGAGCCTGAGGGGGGACTTACTCGAGGAACCTGGTTAAGTACTGGCGGCTGCAGTGGGACCAGGTGAGGGGACTGGCGTTGTACAGGAGCTGTGGAGACATCATGAAAGGCCGATTCCCAAAGGGCTCACACTCATTGCCGTTGCCGTCATGCTGCATGCCCAAACTGCGTGAGACACAGGCCCCAGGGGCGGGTGAGCGGGTGGGAGCCTGCCAGCCTGCCCCCACCCCAGAGGCCCCACGGTCCTGGCTCCCGGGGCTGGCCCGGCCACCCAAGGCATAAGGCACCTTGGCCAGGTGGCATCCTCTGAGATCAGGATCCCTCCTGTTTCCATGGGTATGGGTGCTGGGCTCCTGCCTGCCTGGGCCAGTGATGGCCAACAGGGTGGCTGCCCCACTGGCCTGGAAACCTCAGGGGCACCAGGACCTGGCTGAGCAAGGCCCTGCCACACCCAGTCTTGAGCCCAAGACCCCACGACCGTATGTGGCAGCCTAGCTGCCAGGCTAGGCACTGGCACAACCACTAGCCTGCTGAGTCCTCAGCCTGCCTCGTGAGGCATTACTACCGCCCCAGAGAGGCCCAGAGAGGCTAAGGAACTCCCAGGGGACACAGCCAGGAAATGACAGGATCGGGCAGAAGGCTCGTCCCACCACCAGGCAGCCTTGTGGCCGTGACCTCGGGAGTCCCAGTGCCTGGGTACATGACCCTAGCCCCTCTGATTCACGTGAACATGCTGTCACACCAGCTGAACAGGAGCCCGTTACCTGCCCGGGGAACAGAGGTGAGGGTAGGGGCCACACCTAGACATGAGCGCCTCGGAAGGTGATGGCCTCGGATTTCAACGAATCCAACCCCCTCTATCTATAGGGAGCACAGAGGCCCAGAGAGGGCAGACACTGGCCCGGGGGCACATAGCAGGGAGAGTAGGCCATGCAGGACCAAGAGTTTAAAATGCTAGCACGGTGGGTAAGGGGAAGAACCACCAAGGAATCATGGTGACTTTATGGCTCAGCCCAACCCTGCTTCAAGTCAGACTTGTGCCAGGCCAGCCTAGAGGCACCCAGGGGTGCCTCTCTCCTGTTCACCAGGGAAGGAGCTCTGGCCATGGGGACAGGGGTAAGGGAGGAACAGCACATGGCAGGTCCAATGGGGGCTCCCTCCCTCTCCCAGGCACCTCCCTGTCTCCGGAATCTGTAACCCTCAGGTTGGGAAGGCGAAGTTGAGCTCTTAGGCTGGCAGTGGGGGTGAGTAGGGTACCTGTGCCCGAGCTCATGGGCCACGGTGTAGGCCAGGGGCAGGCCAGTGTCCTCGTTGATGCTGCAGCTGCGGTGCGGATTGCACATGCCTGACACGTGGGACAGGCCCACGGTCTCGCAGGGCTGGTTCATGGCTGAGCACAGGTCCTTCCTGCGCACAGAGACATGTGGGCCTCAGGCTGGCCCCCTCCTGCCACCCACTCTCTCCCTGGCCCCTGGGAGCAGCTCCTCTTGCTCACATACCACCCGCTGGTGCCTACCTGGGCCTGGGGACAGACCCCTTCACAGTCCTTTCGGGTCACTACCCCAGAGAGGGTGCAGGAAGAAGCTGCCAGAACCCAGCAGAGGGTAGAGGGCTCACCTGCACTTTGAAAATACGAATTCTGCAGCCCAAAGCCCCGCCGCTCTTGGGCTCAGCAGCCCCTATGGCTGTGGGAGTCAGGAGAAGCCTCCAGCCTGACACCTGACCACAGACCTGGAACTGGCCTGCCCTGTCACCGTGTGCACCACTTCCTGGAGAAACACCTCTCTGTGTGCAAACAGAGGAGCCCTGGTGGCCTAGTGGGTTACCCATTGAGCTGCTAACCACAAGGTCCGCGGTGCAAACCCACCAGCTGCTCCACAGGAGAGAGGTGAGGCTGTGTCCTCCCACAAAGATTTGCAGTCTCAGAACCCCCACTGGGGGGGAGGCGGGTTCCTACTCTGTCCTATAGGGTCTCTGTGGGTCAGAATTGACTCAATGCAGTGAGTTTGGGACAGATACAGAGTACAGGAAGAATTTTGGAAAAAGGACTCTTGGTGGTGCACTGATGAAGCATTCCACCACTGACCAGGTGGGTGGGTGGGTCGGGTCCTCACCCCCACCCCACCCCGGGCGCTCCGTGGGAGAAAGGCCTGGCCATCATCTGTTCCCGAGAAGACCAGCCTGGAAACCCAGTGTGCCAGTCGTCCCCTGCCCCCGGGGTGGCTGTGGGTTGGAATCGACTCTAGGGGTCCCGACAGCAACTGTGGCAGTGCTGGAAGGACCAGGGCCAGCCCGCCCGAGGGCTGCTGAGACCAGCCTTGGGGAGAGGTGTTCAAGCGCTGCTCAAAACGGGGCTCCCTGAGACATGATGCCTCTCTCTCCCAAGTCGGGCCTCTCCCCGAGGGTTAAGGCACGCCTCCCTCAGAAGGGGGCTCTCCTGCCCACCGCTCAGTGGCACCTGGTCAGCAGGACGGCGGTGTCGTGGTGCAAGGGGTGGACGTCCCCCTTTGGGTTGATGCTCTGCTGCCACTTGCAGAAGCTGCTCAGCGTGTTGTCTGCGTGGTGTGTGACCTTCAGGTCCTCCTAGGGGCACAGAGAGCAGGGGCACAGAGAGCAGGGGCACAGCTGGCACATGCAGATTGCCAAGGCTAGCTGTGCCCTTCCCCACCCTCCCCTGAGCTGCGGGAGGGAGGGTCAGCCTCAATCCTCTGGCGCCCAAAGGAGGGTGTGGCAGGACATGCGGGCTGCCACCCTCCTGGCCTCCATCTCCTGGAGGCGACCTGAGGGAGGGTCAGCCAGGACTGACGGCCCGGGAGGCTCTTGCTGTGGGGCGGCTGAGCCATGGGACAGGTGAGCTGTGGAGTGGGAGTGGGGCAGTGGGGGCCACATACCTCCTCCTCTTCCAGTAGGAGCAGGCGCACGAGGGTGATGTGGATGGGGTTCCCGATGCTCGGGTCATGGAACAGGCCAGTCACCTGCCCAAGAGACGGAAGGGGTCAGGCTGTCCCTCAGGGAAGGGCACTGCACACAGGGGCAGCCAGTGTTCATGCCCCTCCCACCCCAGCTGGCCCGCGGTGCTGCACTCGCACACACCTCCAGGCATGTTCCCCAAGGCACACACAAGGCTGTGCAGCCAGCACCATCCGTGTCCAGACACCCACATATGGTGGTGTCCCCACACTTCTCCAACCAAGCCACAGCAGAGCTGGGAGGACAAGCATGGTAGCTCTATAACTTCATGTCCATGTGCAGGCAGCTAAAAGTGTAGGGTGGTGTTCCACTTGTCAGTCAGATCAGCCTGATGGCGCCTCTGTGTGGGCGTGGCCTTCTCATCAGGAGGGCCTTCCCAGGGGACCTGCCTGCTCTCTCTGCTCTCCCCTTCTTGCTGGCAGACCCTGATCGCTGTCACAGCCCTTCGGTGCTACCACCGCCCCGGCCCGTGATTTTCCTGCATTCTGCATCATCGCATGTGGCTGCGTGAGTTTGAAGAGGGGCTTAGGAACTAGTTTCAGATTTATGGACTTGATCGGGACTGGAGTGGGATGTTTTCTTGATCTATAATTACTTCCTGATATAAAGCTCTCTCTTACACATAGGTGAGTGTCACTAGCCAACCCAGCCCCACACAACAAGCCTCCGAAAGCTTCTGCCGCCTGCAGCCCTGTTGGGGGCACCAGTTTGGACCTGTTTCCTGGTACAAATCCCAATCCCACCAAGCCCACTGAGGGCAGCTCAGGACTCCTGATGCTGGCTGCTTGACCCCTCTCGGGGTCCTAGCTCTGCCTCTTCTGCCCTGGTCTGGGGCAGCTCTGCAGCACCCCTCACCCCGCCCCCCATGGGTGCCAGAAACAGCAACCTGGGACTGTTGAGCCCTGGCTGGAGTCTGCAGAGAGAGGTAAGTGTAGACCTGGGTCCGGGATAACTGGCCCCTGCTCTTCTGCCCCATCTCCTGGGGGTTCTGGAACCAGGGCACAAAGTCATGGGGGTATGGGGGACAGATGGACAGTGGGCCAGGGACAGGGACACGGGCCATGTAAAGTGGGAAACTGTCAGCTCTTTCCAAGCTCAGAGTTAAAGAGCCCAGGGCATGGCAGGGGCCACATGTCAAGTCCCAGAGCACAGAGATAGCAGGGCAGGCTTCTCACAAGTCCACGAAGAAAAAAGAACTTTCAAGAAGCGGACAAAACAGACCCTGTTCAGAGGGCACCATGGGACTTGATAGTGGGGTAGGGGCACTTCCAAGGCCCAGCGTCTGAAATGGTGCCGGTCCCCTCCCATGCAAGCTGTCTGCCCCAGGAGCCCCTCTGTCACCTTCCCCCCACATCCCACCAGTCCTGCCTCCTACACTCTCCTGAGGGCACCTCTTCGTCCCCTCTTCACTCCCACTGCCCAAGGCATCAGCTCGCGTGTGGCCAGCTGCCATCTTCCAATGGGTCCCCCACCACCTCTGTGGCCCCTACGGGGACTTGCAGCCCAGCGTTTTAGTCACCTGTCTTTGAAATACAAGCTCAGGCTCACCGTGTCTTTGTCTGGGGCAGTTAATGGCTCTTCGACGCCCACAAAGGAGCCTTGGTAGCACTGTGGGTTAGGCTTGGGCTGCTAACCTCAAAGTCGAGGGTTCAAACCCACCAGCTGCTCCTCGGGAGGAAGAGGAATGCTGTCTGTTCCCATGAAGATTGAGTCTTGGAAACCCTACGTGGGGTGGCTGAGTCTGAATCACCTCGGTGGCAATGGCTCTGGCTTTGGTTTGGTCACTGTCCATAGGGTGAGGACACATGTCCCTGGCCTGGCCAACAGGCCTGTGTGGTCTGGCCCTGCCCACTCCACGCCCTCGCGCCAGTCACACAGGCTTTCTCTCAGACCCCATGAGTCTGCACCCCAGGGCCTTTGCACCATCAAAGTCTGCAGCCTGGAAACCTTCCCTCCTGTCAGCCCAAGTTATCGTCTTCTCTCGCCAGCACCCAAGCCCAGCAGGTCCTCAGGGAACTTATACTCTACCTCTCAGAGCCCCAGGGCCCTGGCCACCCAGCACCTACCTTGATGACACCTTTAGAGTCATCAGGGTGATGGTTTGATGAAATGCCTATCTCTCTGCCCAGCAGGAAGCCCTGGTGGCATGGTGGGTGATGCATTGGGCTGCTAACTGCAAGGTCAGGAGTTAGAAACCAGCCGCTCCACAGGAAAAAGACGAGGCTTTCTACTCCCATAAAGAATTAGTCTCGGAGACCCACAGAGGCAGTTCTACCCTGTCCTACAGGAGCTTGATGGCTCAGAAATGGCTCCAAGGCAGTGAGTTTGGCTTTGGTTCTCTGCCCAACTTGATCTCCCTGATTGGACACACTACACACACACACACACACACACACACACACACACACACACACACACACTACGGCCCCAGTTGCTCAGTAAATATTTGTTGAACAAATGAATCTGGGAGCATTAATTATGCTGGGTATTTAAAAGAAAGAATGGAAAAGGAGAAAAGCCCCTGAAAAAAGAACCAGTCTTTCCCAGACTACAGGCAGGTAAATTTGGCCTCAGGGCCCAGCAAAGGCTTCAGAGGACAAGAGGCTTCCCAGGGTCCACCAAGACCAGCACCCGCCATGGACCCACCCGATGTTCCAAGTCGCCAGCAAACATAACCCTTCTCGTCATTTCCTGGAAACTATGGAGGGGAGGACGGTGCTGAGAGACACTGAGAGGTGGGGTGGGGTCTTGCTGATCAGCTGTCCCAATGAGTGGCTTGCAGGGCAGGGAGGGAGGAGAGGGTGGGCTTCAACTGATGACTGGCAGCCAGGGAAGTCAAGCCCTATTCCGGTCTGGCACAGAGAGTAGAGTAGACCTGGAGGTCATTGGTGCCCACAAGCACCTAGGGGGTGTCATGGGAAGCCCTCAGGCTTGACTCGGTCTGATGCTGCCCAGATCTTGGCCCACAGCAATTCCACCAAGAAAACAATAACAGGGACCACTGAGAAACGGGGAGGTGGCTTGAACCCAGGGAGCAGAGGCTCGGGGCCACTCCTTAGCCTCCTTCAGGTTGAGTACCCTGAGGCCAGGGAGGACAAGCCTCGGGGCTTAGGAACCTGGAGCCCCCTGCCTCCAGCTTAGGGCCCAACTGGAATAACTGCCACCTAGCACCAGTCCCCCCAGGACGCTGGCTGTCAGCAAATCCCGTCCCAGGCAGAGAGACAAGCTGGATTTTAGAGTCCTGGGATGCCAGGCTCAGAGCTGGGGCTTTTCCTTTCTAAGGAACGGGGAGCCAGCGATGGTGGTTGGAGGCAGGGAAGGAGTGACCAGGGGCTGAGCTTGCCGATGAGGAGCTGGACAGTGGGGGCGTGACCACCAGGTGGCAGGGAGAGCACAGGAACAGCTCCTGCTGGTCCCCGAGTCTCAGGCTTCCCAGTGGTAAACGGGTGGCTGGACATTGGGGGTGTCAGAGGGCATTTTGTAGAGGGGAATGCAGGAGGTGAGGGGCTGGCATGGGGGAGGCAGCAGCACGTGACATGGGCCTAGAGCTCCCCCCAGACATCACCCAGCTTCAGAGCATACACCCCTCACCCTGGTCGCCACCCAACCAGCTCAGGGTGGCACCAGGCTTGTGTGGTGGGCTAAGAACGCCAGGCAGCGATCCTCCCTCCCAGGGGCTGCAAGAAGCAATGTGACCAAGGCCTCTCTGCCTGTGCAGGACGAGCAGGCACTGCAGTCACCTCGGGGGGTCGCCAGCTCTCATCAGCCAGGGCCCCATTCAGGGCTCAGGAGACCTGGGATCCCGTCTCCAGTGCTGGGGGGCCTGGCCAAGGCACATGTCCTTCCTGGTCCTCAGTTACCTCAAATGTCATTGGCGGGGTGGGGAGGTCACCCCTAGGTTACAAGTGGGTCAGCTGGGGCTCAGAGCAGAACAGGGCCTTGCCCAGAGTCACCAGCTTATAAAGCTATCATGTTGTCCCAGGAAGAGGCGATCCTCTCCGATGGGGTGTGTCTTTGTCCCCAGTCCCTGGCAGAGGTCCTGGCTCAGAGGCGGGAGCTGCTTGGTCAAGGGGCAGCGGGGGAGCTCTTCCAGGCAGGCACAGAGTCGTGCTGCCTCAGTTTCCCCCTTGCTCATCTTTGGTACTGGCAGTTGGTAGAGAAGGCACGAAACTCAGTAGCCCAGGGGTGGTGTCCCACTGCTGGTGGCTGGCTGGCAGACCCCACCCCTTCCTGGACGTGGGAGCTGAGACACCGTCCTGCCGTGAGCACATACCATGTTCATGATGGTCAACACGTAGTTCTCCACATCCGGCTGCCCATGGTATTCCACCATCTTGGTGTCGGCCACCACAAGGGTCTCCACCCACCTCTCCTTGCTGAACGACTGCTGCTGCCGACGCCGACGCCCCGGCCGCTGCTGCCTCTGCTCCCAGAGCTCCTGCCAAGACTTCAGCCCCGGGGATGCTGAGTGCAGGGAGATCACTGGTTACTCTGAGTTGGGAACTGGCTAGTTCCTCTACAGAGGAAGCGCAGGCCAGAAGTGGGCAATGGGGAGTAGGCACGGCAGGCTGTACAGGCAGAAGGCTGTAGGCCCTCCCACCCCCACCCCCACCCCCCACATTAGGAAGGCACAGGCTGTGGCCAAGGGTGGGTCTGCCGGTGTTAGGGGAGCTGGACGTGGGGACTGTTAGTAGGCTTCGAGAAGGGCCCCACCACCCCCCTGAGCCCATCCCCACCCAGCAGAGGGGTACCTTGCACCCCGCAGGTGCCTAGAGTCTGGAAGGCACCCTGTTCTCCCCATCTCTCAGATGCTTGGCGCTTGTATACCACATGGGGCTGCGCCTGGCCAGGCCGGGAGGGGACACTGTCCAGAGGCTCAATGAAGTAGTCCTCACGAGAGAGCTGGAACACACCTTTCTGGGGAAGAAGCAACCAGGGCCACATGGGGGAGGGGCAGCATCCCTCAGGCTCTCCAGCCCCAGCAGATGCCACTCCTTTCTAGCCACTCCCACCCCACCCCCACCGCCCTCAGCCTGGAATGTCCTTCACACAGCTAGTGGGCTCTAGGTCCAGGTGAGAGGCCACACAGGTCCCAGGAAGGGATCAACACACCAGGTGGCGTCTTCGCCCTGTTCAGACAGGCCCCCTCCCAAGCTCTCAGGCTGGGACTCCAGATCACTTGGTATCTCCAGCCAAGCTGACCTTCCATCTGGTGGGGCTTCTTCCCTGTCCTCAGTTTCCCCAGGCAACTGATCAGTCTGAGAGCAGGTCCACCCACACCCAAGCCACTGGGGTGTTCACAGCCATTACGGCAGCCTGTTCCCTGGACCCAGGGCTGGCCAGAGAAGGGAAGCCGGCAGGAGGTGGAGGGGAGTGGTCTTGGACATGCCCACGGGCATCCAGAGAGTCCAGGGAAGGGAGGGAGGTGTCTTGGGGATAGCCAACCCCTCCTGAGGAAGCTTAGGCCACCACTGGGGGA